AGATTAAAGTCAGCATTCTAAATTTAGTGTCAGCATTTTGAGTTTAGTTTCAGTAGTGTCAGAGTTCTGAGATTAAAGTCAGCATTCTACGTTTAGTGTCAGTAGTGTCAGCATTCTGAGATTAAAGTCAGCATTCTAAATTTAGTGTCAGCATTCTGAGATTAAAGTCAGCATTCTAAGTTTAGTGTCAGCATTCTGAGATGAAAGTCAGCATTCTAAGAAAGTGTCAGTAGTGTCAGAATTCTGAGATTAAAGTCAGCATTCTAAATTTAGTTTCAGTAGTGTCAGAATTCTGAGATGAAAGTCAGCATTCTAAGAAAGTGTCAGTAGTGTCAGAGTTCTGAGATTAGTCAGCATTCTAAATTTAGTGTCAGTAGTGTCAGAATTCTGAGATGAAAGTCAGCATTCTAAATTTAGTTTCAGTAGTGTCAGAATTCTGAGATGAAAGTCAGCATTCTAAGAAAGTGTCAGTAGTGTCCGAGTTCTGAGATTAGTCAGCATTCTAAATTTAGTGTCAGTAGTGTCAGCATTCTGAGTTTAGTGTCAGTATTCTGAGATTAAAGTCAGCATTCTACGTTTAGTGTCAGTAGTGTCAGCATTCTTAGATTAAAGTCAGCATTCTAAGTTTAGTGTCAGCATTCTGAGATTAAAGTCAGCATTCTAAATTTAGTGTCAGTAGTGTCAGCATTCTACGTTTAGTGTCAGTAGTGTCAGCATTCTTAGATTAAAGTCAGCATTCTAAGTTTAGTGTCAGCATTCTGAGATTAAAGTCAGCATTCTAAGTTTAGTGTCAGTAGTGTCAGCATTCTGAGATTAAAGTCAGCATTCTAAATTTAGTGTCAGCATTCTGAGATTAAAGTCAGCATTCTAAGTTTAGTGTCAGCATTCTGAGATGAAAGTCAGCATTCTATGAAAGTGTCAGTAGTGTCAGAATTCTGAGATTAAAGTCAGCATTCTAAATTTAGTGTCAGTAGTGTCAGCATTCTGAGATTAAAGTCAGCATTCTGAGTTTAGTGTCCGTAGTGTCGGCATTCTGAGATGAAAGTCAGCATTCTAAATTTAGTGTCAGTAGTGTCAGAGTTCTGAGATGAAAGTCAGCATTCTAAATTTTGTGTCAGTAGTGTCAGAATTCTGAGATTAAAGTCAGCATTCTAAGAAAGTGTCAGTAGTGTCAAAGTTCTGAGATTAGTCAGCATTCTAAATTTAGTGTCAGTAGTGTCAGAATTCTGAGATGAAAGTCAGCATTCTAAATTTAGTTTCAGTAGTGTCAGCATTCTGAGATGAAAGTCAGCATTCTATGAAAGTGTCAGTAGTGTCAGAATTCTGAGATTAAAGTCAGCATTCTAAATTTAGTGTCAGTAGTGTCAGCATTCTGAGATTAAAGTCAGCATTCTGAGTTTAGTGTCCGTAGTGTCGGCATTCTGAGATGAAAGTCAGCATTCTAAATTTAGTGTCAGTAGTGTCAGAGTTCTGAGATTAAAGTCAGCATTCTAAATTTAGTTTCAGTAGTGTCAGAATTCTGAGATGAAAGTCAGCATTCTAAGAAAGTGTCAGTAGTGTCAGAGTTCTGAGATTAGTCAGCATTCTAAATTTAGTGTCAGTAGTGTCAGAGTTCTGAGATGAAAGTCAGCATTCTAAATTTAGTTTCAGTAGTGTCAGAATTCTGAGATGAAAGTCAGCATTCTAAGAAAGTGTCAGTAGTGTCCGAGTTCTGAGTTTAGTGTCAGTATTCTGAGATTAAAGTCAGCATTCTACGTTTAGTGTCAGTAGTGTCAGCATTCTTAGATTAAAGTCAGCATTCTAAGTTTAGTGTCAGCATTCTGAGATTAAAGTCAGCATTCTAAATTTAGTGTCAGTAGTGTCAGCATTCTACGTTTAGTGTCAGTAGTGTCAGCATTCTTAGATTAAAGTCAGCATTCTAAGTTTAGTGTCAGCATTCTGAGATTAAAGTCAGCATTCTAAGTTTAGTGTCAGTAGTGTCAGCATTCTGAGATTAAAGTCAGCATTCTAAATTTAGTGTCAGCATTCTGAGATTAAAGTCAGCATTCTAAGTTTAGTGTCAGCATTCTGAGATGAAAGTCAGCATTCTATGAAAGTGTCAGTAGTGTCAGAATTCTGAGATTAAAGTCAGCATTCTAAATTTAGTGTCAGTAGTGTCAGCATTCTGAGATTAAAGTCAGCATTCTGAGTTTAGTGTCCGTAGTGTCGGCATTCTGAGATGAAAGTCAGCATTCTAAATTTAGTGTCAGTAGTGTCAGAGTTCTGAGATGAAAGTCAGCATTCTAAATTTTGTGTCAGTAGTGTCAGAATTCTGAGATTAAAGTCAGCATTCTAAGAAAGGGTCAGTAGTGTCAAAGTTCTGAGATTTAAGTCAGCATTCTAAATTTAGTTTCAGTAGTTTCAGAATTCTGAGATTAAAGTCAGCATTCTAAGAAATTGTCAGTAGTGTCAGAGTTCTGAGATGAAAGTCAGCATTCTGAGTTTAGTGTCAGTATTCTGAGATTAAAGTCAGCATTCTAAATTTAGTGTCAGCATTCTCAGAATAAAGTTAATCTCAGAACTGCTGACTTTAATCTAAGAATGCTGACAGTACGGACACTAAATTTAGAATGCTGACTTTAATCTCAGAACTCTGACACTACTGACACTAAACTCAGAACTCTGACACTAAATTTAGAATGTTGACTTTAATCTCAGAACTCTTACACTAAACTCAAATTGCTGACTTTAATCTCAGAACTCTGACACTACTGACACTAAACTCAGATTGCTGACTTTAATCTCAGAATACTTACACTAAACTCAGATTGCTGACTTTAATCTCAGAATGTTGACACTAAATTTGGAATATTGACTTTCATCTCAGAACTCTGACATTACTGACACTAAACTCAGAATGCTGACTTTAATCTCAGAACTCTGACACTAAATTTAGAATGCTGACTTAAATCTCAGAACTCTGACACTAAACTCAGAATGCTGACTTTAATCTCAGAATACTGTCACTAAACTCAGATTGCTGACTGTAATCTCACAATAGTGACACTAAACTCAGAATTCTGACTTTGATCTCAGAACTCTGACACTAAACTCAGAATGCTGACTTTCATCTCAGAACTCTTACATTACTGACACTAAACTCAGAACTCTGACTTTAATCTCAGAATGCTGACAGTACGGACACTAAATTTAGAATGCTGACTTTAATCTCAGAATGCTGACACTAAACTCAGAATGCTGACTTTCATCTCAGAACTCTGTTACTACTGACACTAAATTTAGAATGCTGACTTTAATCTCAGAATACTGTCACTAAACTCAGATTGCTGACTTTAATCTCGGAACTCTGACACTACGGACACTAAATTTAGAATGCTGACTTTAATCTCAGAATACTGACACTAAACTCAGATTGCTGACTTTAATCTCAGAATACTGACACTAAATTTACAATGCTGACTTTAATCTCAGAATGCTGACAGTACGGACACTAAATTTACAATGCTGACTTTAATCTCAGAACTCTGACACTAAACTCAGAACTCTGACTTTAATCTCAGAATGCTGACAGTACGGACACTAAATTTAGAATGCTGACTTTAATCTCAGAACTCTGACACTACTGACACTAAACTCAGAACTCTGACACTACTGACACTTTCTTAGAATGCTGACTTTAATCTCAGAACTCTGACTTTAATCTCAGAATACTGACACTAAATTTAGAATGCTGACACTAAACTCAGAACTCTGACTTTAATGTCAGAACTCTGACACTAAATTTAGAATGCTGACACTAAACTCAGAACTCTGACTTTAATCTCAGAACTCTGACACTACTGACACTAAACTCAGAACTCTGACTTTAATCTCAGATCTCTGTTACTAAACTCAGAACACTGACACTAAACTCAGAACTCTGATACGAATAATCTCAGAATACTGACTTTAAACTCAGATTTTTTCACGTTTTGCCTGCGTGATTTTGCTGATGTTTAGATTTTTTTTGATTTAGTAGTCAGTGCTTGGTTTTTGTGCTGGTTTTATGATTAACTAGTTAAATCTTTTCTTTTTGTGTCGGTTTGAACTGTGTATTTTATTAATTTATGATCGGAAGTATACACAGGGTGTTTTTATTTTGAAAATCTCCCTGTTCAGTTCGATCTGCTCTGTGCAGCTTGACATGGCTTCTGTCAACAATAGACTTGCGTATTCTTCGCAGAACCGAGAGCTGCTTGTGGGACGCGCTGTGTCTGTTTGACTCCCAAACATTGACTAGAAGGGCCACAACCAGCTCCAGCAGCCGCGGCGCAGTGGACACGTGCGGACTTGTGTAAAGTTTATGTACTGCTGGATTTGATATGCAGAGTTTTCCATGAGCAGAGCACGCATTTAAAGGCAATATCGGCGTCGATCATGTTCATTTAATTGCGGGAAGCTAAAATCGTAATTGCGATCAATATTCAATTAATTGTGCAGCCCTACCTATGGTTACTTACTGTAAAAACACCTGCTGGCCCCTCCTCTTCCTGTCTCTCTGTATGTGTCTGCTCTGCTGACTTTCGCTATCAGCAGTACGTTGACATCTGCACTTGTGTCTCCTCCTTGTGTTGCTCTACCTCGTCCATGCTTGTAAAATAACCACCATCTGGTGTCTTGTAAAATAATAGTGTCACGAAAGACTGCACCTGTCACATACGAGAAGATGACCATATCGTCAAGACAAAGGAAAGCAGCAAATCCTCACCAATGAAGTTAAAACTAAAGAATATTGTTTTTCTGTCAATTAACTAATCAATTAACTAATCGTTCTAGCTCTAGAAAATATACTACTGAAAAGTAAAAGTCATTAACAAGGGCTGCTGCTATTTTTATCATTGATTGAATCTGTTGATTAAATTTTTGATGAAATTATTAAAGATAATAGTGAGAAATGCTTATCAAAAGTTCCTAGAGCCGAAAGTGAAGTAGTAAAACAGACGCTGGTCGTTGTGTTGCAGGTGAAGTGTGATCAGTACTGGCGTGCAGACCGAGAGCCTCTGTCCTACAGTGACCTGGTCATTCAGATGCTGTCAGAGCATCGGTACCTGCTCTTTATCTCAGTTCCTGATCCAGTTTGTCAGGATGGTCCCGGGACTACGTGGACCGATCACCCACCACCGGAGCCACCATCGTACACTGCAGGTAGGACAGAGCGTGTGTGGACGTTTGATTGGCTGAGAGGAAACCGAATCTAAAGAGCTAAAATGATTTTTAATTTTTCTCTCCAATGTGAGGATTTGCTCTTTAAAGCTGACTCTGTGTGTGTTTAGTGCTGGTGTTGGCCGTACAGGGACCTTCATCGCCTTGGATCGGGTTCTGCAGCAGCTGGACTCCAAAGGAACCATCGACCTGTACGGCTGTGTCTTCGACCTCCAGCTGCACCGCCAACATATGGTCCAGACTGAGGTACAGCCCCATCCTGCTGAAGTGTGCCACATAAGACTCTAGGGCTGTATGAATACAGGACCAAACTAGGGCTTAAAGGCCAGTGAATACAGGACCAAACTAGGGCTGAAAACTACCAGGGATGTGATTTTTCCGCATTAATCTGGAATTCCGGATATTCCGACCTAAAAATCGGTCCCACGTGAATCATGAACAAGGATGTTTGTTTGCGTTCAGCTGCCCGTTCCACACCTGCGCAGTGTGTACCACAGTTGCTCTCGCGCATCTGTGGTACGTGACGTGTTGGGCAGTAATACTGTATATTATACTTTTCCCAGTAAAGTACAGTGTGACGGATTACTATTTCCAAAACAGTAATTATTACAGTTACTAGTCATATTAAGGACCGGACCTTATCAGATATTAGCCAAAAAGGAAGCGAGGGGAACAGGGAGAGAGAGGTATTTTCGACAGCTGTTAAGTAACGTTGTTGCCATTATTGTGTCACAGGCTAAGATGCAAAGAACATTGTCATCCGTTGTAAACTTTGTGTGACCAGCAAAAAGTTTTCAACCGCGAACATTTCTACATTGACTTAGGCTAATTGAAGCATCAGCTAAAGCAACACAGCAACGTGAAACTCAGAAAGAAACTCCGGCCGCTGCTGCCAGTGCTGCTTGGACTCATCAGGAGAGAGTGGCGTTATATCACCCAGTAGTAATAAAAAAGTTAAAAAAAAAGGACCCAGCTAATATTACTTTTTTAAGGAGTATATGCTAAGTAACTAGGTAATAGCTATATTATTTCTGAGTAACTTTCCCAACACTGAGACATGTGACAATGACAATAAGTATCGGATAAATTGGGTATGTTTTGATGATTGCTTGTTATGAGCTATATCTAGTGTTTACTTTGACTTTGTTGTCAATTGATCAATCATGTAGCCTATATACTTTGCTGTATGAACGGTTGCTTTTTAAGTCGTCCTTATGTTAAAGGTTTTGGCAAGTTATAAATGAATGTCTTGTGAATGGTTGTGACAGGGTTTATAAGGCCTGGATCTGCGGGGTCGCTCTGCGCTCCTCATTTACATTTACATTAATTAATCCAAAGCGACTTACAATTGCTATACAATACATGTCATGCTGACACCAAAGGCATGCGTCTTATCCATTGCGCCATCACCACCCCTCAAGACAGGCAAACAAGCTCTCCCCGAGGTAACCATGGCAACGGCTTCTGTGTAGCTGCCGCGATCCCGTGAAACTGTCGAACTTTTTCCTACAGTTTATCAATAGACAGCAGACTGATCAGCTGTTTGATCTGAGTTTCCTGAATAATGTCACTGTTTCTTTCAGTCAGGCCACCAGGTCTTAAACAGGAAACAACCTTTTGCTGCTGTCTCTAAAAATATTCTATTAACTTCTACTAAACTAATCTAAAAGTTAGTAGTTATATTACTAAAACAATATTTCTACAAACTAAGTGTTGTAGTATCACAAGCAGGATATCAATGATTTGTGGGGTGACTTTTGAGACACTACAGCCTTTAACAGTGTAGTTATTGAATAATAAAAATAGGCCTACCTAATATTAGGTATGCAAAAGTCTTTTTTCCCCCAAACTAAGTGTTGTAGTATAACCAGCAGTATATCATTAATGTGTAAGGTGATTTTGGGGCCACTACATTGTATAAGTGTGAAGTTATTGAATATCTCTGCAGAATGTGTTTTCGGTGTTGCACTTTGTAGAAGGTCCCTGCGGACTCGTCTCGTCGTGCCGCTCCTAGGAAGACTCATTTGTGACAATGTACTTGTAGCTTGTTGTCTACTTAACTACGATAATAAAGAGGCGCCGTTTGTGCTTATGAGTTATTGATCCCGGAAGTTCGAATCTGTGAATATAGGCTATTTCCAACTTTACCATTATCTAGTATGACATCTTTTCTCGTAATTACGAGATCAGGATCTGACTGTTTCTTTTTTAATATTCATATATCTGCCGCTGCAGATTAAATGCAATCAGCTCATATCGGCCGATAATATCGGCCGTGCTCTATTAATAACAAAACATAATAACTTTACAAATTTTACAGAAAACATTTGCAAAGTTACTAAAGCTAATAAATGTAGTTAAGTAAAAAGTGCATTCCCCCCCCTGAGGTGAAGAGAGTAGAAGTAGAAAGAAGACAAACACATTGAAACCTAAACTTTTGAGCAGTTTCTGCACCTTGTTTCTAAAGTTACGTTTCCCATGACACTGTGCATCCTGGCCGGACCTGAGCTCGCTGTGAGGACCAACTTGAAGCTTGTGGGACATTGGACGATTTTTAACTTTTCCTCTGTATAAATCTCTGCCAGGATATAAGAGGGGGTATGGACTGGAGGTTTGTTCCTGAGGGAACGGCCTCTCTGACAGGGCTCCTTGCATCTCTTTTAAGCCCCTGACAGCTGTTGTATCTGGGTTACCCAGTTCTGCTCCGGCCTCAGCGTGCCCTAGATCAATATGGAAATCAGAAGTCCACAGATGAACTGTAGAAAAGGATCAAAGTAGCCAGAGCTTATTCTGCTTGTGAATCACTGTTTTCTTGCCCAGGGTTGGGTGTCTTTTAAATTTTATGATTCTGATTCTACTCATGGAATCCAGTTCTTATTGAATCTCTGCTGGTTCCTTCACCACAGATGTTGTCAGCGCTCGCTGACCTTCATCTTCCTCTTTGTCTCTGAAATGAGTCTCTGTCCTAGAGCGGCGTCTCTGGGGACTCGTTTCATCTGTAGCCATCTTTGGTTTCCCTTCAGTATAAAAGGTGAACGTCAGCTCACCTGTGTTTTGTACCTGAGGCATTGCTGCTGTTAGTGTTAGCTGGGGTGTCATTGTAGCTGAAAGAGCGCATCACGTTGAACACGGTGAAGCGTTCCTTTAGATGCACACCATTTTGTAGGAAACGCTTCGTCATGTTGGAGCTGCTTCCTCCCTCGCACCAAACCTCCTAACTGCAGGTGCTGCAGTTTTTTAGTGAAGCTAAACCAAACTTTGGAGCCTTTTGCTGCGGTTAGGTCGGCGTAGCAACTCCTGGCTGATAAGAGACAGTTTGATGGGCTGTAAAATGCTCACTGCAGTTCAGGCAGGAGCTGAGATATGCAGGAAGTTGGGAACCGAGAAGCAGGATCCAAACGCACGGGTCTTATCCAATCCACAGTTCTTGGAAATTTGGTTCTCCATATCGAACCCTATTCTTACCTGCTTCAAATCGCCTCATTGTTAAAGGAATAATACCATATTTTGGGAAATCGTTGTTTGCGTTTCTTCTGGCCATCTGATTAGAAGATCAATATTAATTTCATGTTCCGGTGTCTGATACAGAGAGGCAGTGTTGCCAGATCCTGCTCATGAATTCCTGCCCAAAAACTGTTCAAAAACCGCCCAAAATATGTTATCAGTATTTATTTCAGTATTTTAACTTCCACGTGTCCTTAGGGTTACATTAGATTTACATAGCCTACATACTTTACATACAAGAAATACACACCGGCAGCCGAAGCATAGACCGTTTTAGGTGCATTAGCGCCACCTGCTGGACTGGAGTGTAAGGTTTTAATGACAGCATCAAAACCTTGCGGTGAAATGATCCTCCACACACTGTATTTTTAAGTCAAATTTATTTCATCCAATGACATGACACACTTTAACTTGATTCACGAAATTTGGGATAGTGCATAGATTACCATTGTTTTTTATATATATATATATTTTTTTTTTTGACAGATTACCTTTAGCGCAGCACCCTGTATGTGTATATAGGGTGCGAACTACTGGGGAGCCATGGGAGCTTTGTTCCCCTAAAAGCATGATTTGTGATATTTGGGAGGTCTCTAAAATATTGACAGCATGCTTTATTGCCATTAATTTCTATATTTCTCTATCCATCCATGCGTAAATTCAGGAGCGTCAGACTTCATTCAGCCAGAGAGAACGATCACTGACAGTCAGCAGTGGGCCTGTCCGCTCCACTCGGTCTCCGGTATACGGGTTGTGCCGCTAGTACGGCCGACGCGAAGAAGACATCTGAACGCAACTTTGTGGAACTAGGTACAGTTTGCAGAGCTGTCTGGTACCGTGAGCAACGTGACTTTGAAGTGGGCGTTGCTCAGATAGTGATTATTGATTGGATGGAGTACATGCACTCTTAAGTTTTGTCAGAGACAAATTGGTCTTGTTTCAAATTAGCCTACCTATAAAGTGCTACTGTTAAAAACCGCCAAACTGATCCAAAACACCGCCCAAACAAATTTTGACCCGCCCAATCAAAATCGGGAACCCGCTCAATCTGGCAACACTGCAGACAAGAGTCCAGGATGTTTGAATTCACTGTAATGAGGGTTTCAGCGGTTCAGCTACAAGCCTGAAAAAGTTTCCGGAAACTGTAGCTCAAACCTTGTAGGTGTGAAAATGTCAAAAAAAAAAAATACAGGAAGTTCAGCCATCACAATGCAAATTTTTATCAGCTTCTGAAGAATCCGTGTATGGTTCATTCTTTGATTATTTAGTTTCAAAACCAAAAGAAAAGTTGTGTAATAAGACCACTGCTGATGAAAATGTGTTTTAACAACTGATGATGCAGGATTTAATGAATAAGTTTGCTTCACTCAAAAAAACAAAACAACTGACAAACATGGTTTGGCAGCTATTTTTAATTAGCACCTAATAATCGAGTTTACAGTGATTTTACAGCAAGTTATAAAATTATATTCTCTTAGGGCTGATAGTGATAGGGCCAACATTGATATAATGTCAAAATATATTTGATACGAAAATGTCACAGTATGACTAAATTGAACATAAAATAATCAAACTGGTGGTATAAATTACATCAGGAAGAAACATTTGTGTAATCATAACTTTTAATGTCTAATTTTGTTAGTCTTTAAATACAAATAATATATCACAACATGTTTCTACTAAGAAAAATGTCATAATTGCCCAGCACTGTATTCGTTTAAAGTGATTTAAAACCAATGATCATTATGTCCAAAAAATATAAATCATTTTTAAAAAAAACCTGAAACATCCAGCAGTCGAACAGAAAGACAAAGAAGCTTTCCAAATATTATTTATAATATAAAAAAATGTTGGAATTGCAAATGAAAATTTTTTAAACATGTTTTCAAACTTCGGGATCAAACAAATGTCACACAATTCTCAAAAATTTAAACAACAAAGAATATTTTATCCCAGAAAGTAAATTGAAAACATTAATACATTTTAACACAGGGGAGTTCCTGCCTTGCATTCAGACTTTTATTTTGTGTGGTAAGTTTTGACAGTTTAAAGAATGTGTCTGTATGTTTTAAAGCGTTTCCTTCCTCCAGTTTAAAAGTTACAGTAACTTAAAGTCTGAATACAGCAGGTTATCAAGTGTTTTATTTCATTAATGACACACAATCTCAGTATTTCACAAGATAAAAATAGTTGACCTACAGTTTATATTCATTATCATATAAAAAAGAAAAGAGTATTACATCAATATTTACATACAGCAATATGTGTAACTTTTTAAATAAACAGCTTATATGGAGCAGTGAGTGAGAACAGTTATATTAGAAAATGGAATAAGGGTAGTTGGCACGATGTCACTGCTAACGAGCATCAGACTGATTTTGTCTTTAAAAAACAACAATTTAACACCAACGACCTGAGATCGACCCGCTTTTCCTTCAACACTGAAAATCATTAACCACGTTAATTAATAGGAGTCTGAAGTTTGATTTTGGAAGTCACAACTTTATCTAATTAAAGTCTACCTGTAATACCAGCAAACATTTAAAGTTCCGTTTTAATTGTAATTAAAACATGTTTTCCTGTTTACAACGTCAGCATTTATCTTCCATAAACTCTTATCACTGATATACTGACAAGTGTAGAAGTTGTTGTAATGTAAAGGTGACTTAAAGGACTGCAGAGGAAAAATCTTAACACTAATTTGTGTTTTAAAAGTAGTTTGTCATTTGTGTTATATTTTTATACTTTGCTACACAAAACAGGGAACAGACAGCAAATGCTCTGTTAGCTCAGTTTTTTTTAATAATGTATTTAGGGAGCTAATGTAGCAACGCTTCTTCTCCCTCGATCAGATGGACGTCATCGTCTGTTTAGCGTCCAGTGTAGATGAAATCTGAGGAGAGACCAAAAAAAAAATTGTCATCTTTCATTGTGTCTGAATGCTGTAAAAGATCTGTCACAGGAACACTTTTTTTTTTCTAGTATTATTAAAAATAAACAAGATGTTCTGACACATGTAGTTTTTAAAACATAGAGCTAACAGCACCTCAAAAGCTCACTGATTCACAACTGTTGTTGAATTTCTCTTTGCTGGTTAGAGTAAGAAGTTCATTTAGTTCTGGTGGAGTTTTTAAAAGTCTTACCACGGCAGTACTCGGGGTTGAAGTTTTCATAGATTGGGTAGAGAGGATTCTCCTGTTCACTTCGATGCTTCCTGGCTCTAAGGACATCCCGCACACACTGGTGCAGGAAGGCATACTGGCACTGCAACACACAAGGACATCAACAAGTCTTAGATTACAGCATGTCACTTTGCATTCAACACTCAGTCATGTTTGGTCCACTTTTAACTTGTATTTCAGTCCTATATTTAATGACCTTTTATCCCTGGTGTAGTATATACACACACAGGTCTTTCAGCCCTAGTTTAGTCGCGTATTCACTGGCCTTTCAGCCCTACAGTCTTATGTGGCTGTACCTCAGTCTGGACCATATGTTGGCGGTGCAGCCGGAGGTCGAAGACACAGCCGTACAGGTCGATGGTTCCTTTGGAGTCCAGCTGCTGCAGAACCCGATCCAAGGCGATGAAGGTCCCTGTACGGCCAACACCAGCACTAACACACACACAGAGTCAGCTTTAAAGAGCAAATCCTCACATTGGAGAGAAAAATTAAAATACTATATTATATATTCATCATTTTAGCTTTTAGTTTCCTCTCAGCCAATCAAACGTCCACACACGCTCTGTCCTACCTGCAGTGTACGATGGTGGCTCCGGTGCTAGGTGATCGGTCCACGTAGTCCCGGACCGTCCTGACAAACTGGATCAGGGACTGGGTGCTCTCTGGGACTCCGTGATCGGGCCACACGGTGTAGTGGAAGTGACGCAGCATGCGAGGGTAACTGCGGCTGCTCTCCTGCCAAGAGTTAAGTTTTTAGTTATACATCAATAAAAAGCTCTGAATGAAGTGTAGATTAACTAGCAGGAGAAAACATCTCTGTACAGTCAGAGATAATAAGCAGGTACCGAGATGATCTTGAACTCTCTGATGGTCCACTCGGGCAGGACGGACTCTGACAGCATATGAATGACCAGGTCACCGTAGTACAGAGGCTCTCGGTCTGCAGGCCAGTACTGATCACACTTCACCTGCAACACGTCAACACAACGACCAGCGTATGTTTTACTACTTCAGGAAGACTTTGTTCATTCCGCTCCCAGCCGTCTCTTTTCTTAACTGATTCAGGTTGTAAGTTACAATTATTAAGAAAAACATGCAGCTTTTCTGTTTCTGACATTTGAAAACATCACTATGGAATCTGGGAACTTTTGATTAGCATTCTGCACCATTATCCTTACTAATTTATAAAAGAGAATAAAAATAGCAGCAGCTTTTATTAATATTTTAGAATACTTTATAGTAGTATATTTTCTATAGCAGAAATGATCAGTTGATCGACAGATTAATAGTTAAAGTGGGATTGGTCAATAAAACAATGAAAAATATTGCTAGGGAATTTTCCGCAATAACAATATAACCAATGTTTGATTTAATTCATTAGAATAATGAATGAATTATCTCTTAATTTTTCTATTGTTGCGAAAAAGAGGCCTGAAAAGACTCCTGCATATTTGTTAAACAGATTTTATCGTAGCAGTTTTGAATGTTATGCTTCAGATTCACTGTTTCGCATCAAGTGTTTGTTCTGACCATAAAGAAAAGTTTAAAACCACAATTAACCATCTGGTTTCTTCAACTTCCACTCAGGAGCAAAAAAAAAAAAACAGCCTTCAAACTTAAAACAAATAATGATTTGACATTTATCCTGATAATCGTCCATACCGAATGATGGGAAGTTTTTTGTTGCGATAACATTTTCGGCCATATCGCCCAGCCCCAATTAAAAGCAATTTTTCAAGAAAGAATAACAACCATTTTCTAGTTTTAGCTTCCCAACGGTGACATACTGCTTTTCTTCGTCTGCACTCGACTGTTTTTGGGGGGTAAATCATCTTGAGCTTTATGGAAAGAGGTTTTTTTTTTTTTGGTCCGGGGATTAAACAAACGTCCTCTGTCTATTAGATTTTAATATTTATAGTGTTCCCTCCAAACATAAAGTGGAAAAGGTCACGAAAATCAAAAAGGGCACCATGAATGAATCTATATTAGATCTGGCAGGTGTTAAATATATTAGATATATATATAGACCAAACAAAAACACCAAAAATGTAACCGTAAGTGACTCACCCGCCCCTTCTCCACACACTGCGTCACCATCACCACATTGTAGACGCCGTGCTCCCACACCATCCGCCAGAAATCGTCCTTAGTGCCGGGCAGCGGCCCCTGGGTGGCGATGTACTCCCTGCGGTAGTTATTACCCTGCACACACAGAGCAGAGGGTTGTTAGTGTGAGCGCCTGTGTGTGGATGTTTAAGTGTGTGTGTGTGTGTGTACGCACAGGTACGTAGCTGGCGTTGATGTAGTCGGAGCAGGGGTCGTCCTCCAGATAGGACAGCTTCACTCGTGTAGAATCATCTAGAAAAAAAACACTTATTATAAAAGATAATTTCTTTTTTGTTTCAGTGTAGGTTGAACTTTTAATGCAATAATGTGGATCAAAGCTCAAAATGTTCTTGTGATCCAGACAACAAGTGAGCATCACTTTTGATTGTGAGGCTGTTATTTATTGGTTAAGATGCTTTAGTGAACTATTCACCGTCAGAAAAGTCAGTGACACGTTTGATTTGCGTTTCTTTATTTAATTTTAATCAGTTATGAATCTGAGCTCATAGTTTCTGAAAGTTTCACCAAAAACCTCCCAGACGTCACTGATTAGCTGTGTGTCTGTTCTGTGATCAGCGCTCATAACTTACTGTAACCCAGAGGTAAAATGGGCAATAAATAGAATAAATAAAAGTTGCTAACTCACTAATGGAGAACGTCACTGTAACAAGGGGGAGGGAAAAAAACAAAAATAAATGAGCACAGTTCAAACGCCTTTCGGCATTCAGACTTTAGAAAAGTTTTTTTTTTTTTTTTTTTTAATCTGAGCAGGGCTTCAAGCTGGGATTGATGATGCTCAGACAGAATAAAAGAATAAGAAGAATGCTGCACTGTAATCCATATTATATATTATATTATTAGCTATATGTGGTATTGTATTACTATTTTATTTAGTGGAGAACTTGTTAGTAGTTTGCAGCAGTATTTCTTTTTTATTTTATCATTTATATAATTTGTTTAAGAAATTGTAAAGTAACATGGAAGTTTACAAAAGTTCACATTGACACCATCCAATACAAGGGTATATTGTTATTATGGCAGTCTGAGTGTTAGTACACCCTAGCCAATAGTGTTTAGACCCGCCTCTCAGCCGTTTGCGCCAGTGGGAGGCAGGAAGTGACGCCAGTGTAGCTGAATCATCGTAGCGGCGCATTAATTATAAACTTTAAGTGTTTATTTAATTCTGTAACTAATAGTGTGAAAAACTAGTGAGAGTCTAATCCGGAGGGCATGTTCAAGCTAATGTGCCGATCCATTTCACCGCTAAGTTTGTTTTGTTCCGCTTGCCTATATGCTAATGTCCGCCATTTTTGTGCCGCATTGTTGTCATTGTAAACGGCGCTTGCTGCCTTGAATCTACATGTTTATATAATCCAGCAAATAAATCTAAGTCAGAAACAGTCGTGGTTATTTGGAAAAGGTGCAATATATAAATGCATCTATATTAGACGTTGAGAGTCGCAACAGGTCGCTCAGAACTGCCACTGCAACTAACTGTTATAATTAATACACTGATTAAAATCTCTGATTAGGGCTGGATGATGTGACCTAAAATCAAAAGCTCGATTACAATTAATGAACAATTATTTAGTTTTTTTGCCCTCAAAAATCACTGCCAAGGTTTGTACTGTAAATATGCTCAACTATTAAAGGTGGGATATTTTTGGGAACATGGGAAAATTACATATGTTAGAGGTTCTGATTATTTGTCCAGCCCTAACTCTGAATATAAAATACTGAAAAATATCACACTTTTCCCAAAGCCCAAGTTGATGTTTTTTTCTTAGTGAGAGTTCATCCGTGATTCACACAGAAGAGGGAGAAACGGCCATGATTCATTTTACTACGGGAGTGTGGGCATAATTACAGCTGCTGTTGTAAATGCGTCACCTCAAGTTATTGATCACATTTTTCTGTTCGTATAGAAACACGATGAACAGCTCTAAAAATAAACACACACACTGTCACTGATTGACTGCAAACTCCTAAATTTGATTTTAAAACTGTTAGTTTATGGAAATAACTTAAACATTATTAAACTGACTTTGCAAATTAATGAAGGAAACAATAGATGTTATCATTATCAATTTGTTATAAAAATAATTTTAGCATTGGTAAAGTAGACAAATATGTCTGGATATTACATTACAATAAATTTCACATTACAGGACGCACGGCGTGTCAGGGAAGGCAAATTAACTCAAACACATCATGCTACAACCTTTTTGCTACTTAATAATAAAGGAAAAGTTGCAAGGTTCTCATTTTCCAAGACTAATCTAAAAGAAAAGTCTGTTTGATGTTACATAATTTACTTGGATAGTTTGCTGAGTTCCCCATGTGCTCTGGTGAAGGGTTACACTTTCTTAATGTATGAAACAACCAAAGCAGGCCCCATAATCGCCCACAACAACCTGAAAATGAGCAGTGCGTGTTTTGGTTGTTTGATAAACTGATAACCAGAGCACACAGTGAACCAGCTGCCCGTAAACACACAGCTCAGAGCATCCAAATCTCTATCCAGATAGATAAATCTGTGTGCTCGAGTTTGAGGGTAGAGATGCACCGATCGGTTTAAGACAAATTCTTTGATTCTAGCTTCTTTAATGGGAATATCGTCTTTACTAGGGTGACCAGACGTCCCCTATTCCCCGGGACAGTCCCTGGTTTTGGTGGGCTGTACCCAGAAATGTCCCCGTTTGTGTAGCTGTGCGCTAATCATAGACTGTATAAGGTGTTAACAGACTTGAAATCAGATTTTACGTGGCCAGAAAGAATTGGACAGCAGAGCACACTGGTGTTGTGCCGAAAAGTGAGCGCAGAAAACCGACTGCCGTCCGCGGGAGCGCGCTCCGCATGTTTAAGCTGTATTGTTCAGTGTCTTTACAACTGCAGCTGCTTTTATCTGGATCAAACAGATATAATGTCTTAATAAACATCACTTTATGTCCGTGGTAACAGCAAATATGTATTTGTGATACGTTTCTTCTAACGGAATAATCACATTGTGGCTAAATAAGTGTTTGCAGTTTATAGAGTATTCAGGCATGACATTTACGTGATTAAACGCAATAAGAGAAGCCTGCTGTTGCCGATGGATTATGTGTTTGGTAGGCCTATGTCTAATATCCTTGCTGCTGAGTTATATATAAAATAAAGACATGATCACTTTTGCAGTTATCCTTCTGACTCTACATTAATTAACTTGCTGGTTACCAACCAATCCAGTGCTTTTTACCTGTTGAAATACCTTTAAATGGCCAAAACAACCCAGAACATGCAGTATTTCACTTGTCTGAAAGGTGGATTCTGTTTCAAAATGACTTGATTTAATTCAGAAGTTATATTTGACAGATTATAAAACTGAATATCTTTTGAGTTGTGGACATTTGAGGACGTCCTCTTGGGCTTTGGGAAACACTGACTGACATTTTATAGACCATACAACTGATCGATTAATTGAGGAGATAATCAACAGGAATTAATGAAAATAATCATTGGTTGCAGCCCTCCTGTCACATTTACACGCAGGTGAACTACTGAGTTGATGTTAACCGCGGTGTGCTGTCAGGAGGTGCAGTGACTTAAACAAACGGTAAGTCAGGAAGGTAAATAAAATTTAAAAAAGTTACTTGTTAAAAGGTCCGTTAGCTGTAAAACAAAATTGTAACTAGCAAGTTATAGCAGTTATGTTTGCTCAAGCGGAACTAAACACGCCATGAGGTTCGGCTTTATTCGGCCAAAACCATAACCGAAAATGCAATTCAAGTAATAGCACGACCTGATATCCAGGTAGACGTGATTTTAAAGATCGTTGATCTTGCCAGCCCCTTTTAACAAGCGCACCAAGAAGTGGTAATCCCTCGTTCACTCATTCACTAGTTCCTTTATAATGGACACTCAGATTTCACACATGTATGAATCATCAACATCGTCTGTCCTCGCTGAGCTGTAAAAAGTGACGCACGCCGCGGACTGAGGATTGACTATTCTGATAATGACTGATGACTGAGGGGAAAGACAAACAAGTTAAAAAAGAAAAAGATATTTAAGGAAGTTAAATTTACACTCTTTAAATGATCCACAACTCACCTTCTGCTGCAGCACAAAACATCATCTGCATGTTTAGTTTGTAGTTATTAATGTTTTTATTACCTCGACCCTGAGACTGGTACATCACTGTCGCCATGGGAACAGGCGCCGTCTCGTTAATTAAAGCTTTTAACAATGTCGTCATTGTAATGATTTTCAAATTAATTGGTCTATTTTTTCCCTCACTGGGGGACTCGATGGCAGGAGGGTTTCTCGTTAACTTTTTACCCTGTGTTTAAAATTTTTTATTTGTTGCTGCAGCAGACACGATTAATAAAAGCCATAAATCTCACACACACACAGTCACGCAGCGGTACTAACATGGCAGGATGTTGTTGTAGCGGTTCTTTCCTCGGTTCTCCGGCACTCTGGCGACGTCCATCGTCTGGTTGCGTCCCACATCCTTCAGATCCTTCACAAACATAAATGATTCATTCACAGTCTGAAGTATTTCTTCCTCTCAAAACCCCCTTTTACATTTAACACATGAAGCCAAACGTCTCTGGTGTTACATGTTGTCTGAACAGCAGCAAAAGCCCAAATTAGTTCAAATGAGCCGAACCTTTAACATCTGCAACAGTCAAATGCAACATACACATAAATGCAGCAGGAATATAATATTCTTACTTAAAGGCAGGACTTCCACTTGCAGTGGAGTATTCCCACAGTGTAGTATTAGTACTTTTACAGTCTACCCCCCAGTTTCCTGATCTGACAATAGCCGTGTTTCCATCAACGTTTTTTAATGCACATTTTGAAGTATGGCATTAAAAAAAGTTAGTGAAACGGCTAAAATATTTATTTAAATTCTTAATTTCGCAGTTTTTACGCTCACTTGAGGTGGTTTTTGCCTTTGTCGAAAAAGAGTAAGGGCCTGATTTACTAACGTCCCGAATAAAGAGGACTAAATTGTGCTTGTGTGCATTCTAAAATATTGCACGTGTAATTTTAGTACCTGTTATGGGTGATTTACTAAGAATTATTGTGTAGATGACAATTCTTATGGTTCTAACGGTTTCCGCCATGGAGAGTCGGGAGGGAAAGCAGCCACCATGTAAAAACCTTGGTTTGTTTCGTTCAGTACGTCCCGAGTGTGGAAATCGTCTGTACCTGCACATCCTGCACTAAGGACTTGAGACAGCACACCTGAACAACTGCTTTGGGAAACCTCAGCAGAAACAGATGCAGTATGCTGCAATGACCCAGACGCCAGGAAATGCCAGCAGATCGTGCTTCATCCAGCCAGAGGGAACGACCACAGACCGTCCTCAGTGTGCCCGGTCGCTCCGCGATCTCCTGTCCCTGTCCGCCCCGACGCCCCGTTCCCTCTCCAAGACCTACAAAGGGTTGTGTCGCTGTTGTGAACAGTTGGTGAACGTTCCCTCTGGCTGGATGAATTTTACGCCTGATCCATGCTGTACTGCAGCTGGGGGCTCTCTGCAGCACCAAGCAACTTTCTAAATTCCTCCATCTGACGGAGAAAAGAAGTCCGGTCGAAACAAAATTTGCTTGACTGGCATGAATGTTAAAACAACAGTATCACCAAAGCTAAAGGAAAATACAAAACAAATTCTATTCATATATTTCATTGAATAAATTAAATACAATAACAGTATTTCTATATATTAGATATAGAATATTATCATCTAATATTGTTAATTTCTCAACGTCTTCTTTCATCACGGCTGTGTCTCCTTCTGGCAACGATAACAGCAGCCATCTCTGCGCATCACTTGGCGGTTTGCACCTTCCTCTCTAACGTATTAAATCCAGAGGCTGCTGCACTCACATGAAATAGCGTTTAGGCTTGGTAGATCACATTGCGTGTAGTAAATAAATGTATTTGCATGTTACGCCCCAAATTGCATCTTCATTAAGGCAAAAGTAGTAAATGACCAACAGGTGCTATGTTGCACTTTTTAAAGACGTCACTCTGCGTGCACGCCGTTAGTGGATCAGTGTTAATTTGCTGGTGAAATCAAGTTTGCACACGTTTTTACTCGCGCAAACCTTTAGTAAATCTGGCTCTAAATGGGAGATGGAAACAGCCTGGCTTGTTCGCTCCAACCCAGCTGACGGAAACTCACTGATTTTGCAATGTCTTTTTTGCAACATTTCAAAAGAACGCTTAAAATTTGCATGACAATTACATGAAAACATGGCTAATGAATGTTAAACTTATACCTCAAACTCCTCAGACAGCAGGTAGTTGGAGTCGGCCTGCAGCTTTGTCAGGTGTGACTCAAAGTGGCAGGCTTTGATTGGACTGCACAGAGAGACACAGATATTTATTAAACAGACGTTTTCAAAGCTGCAAATTAACAGAAATTATATTTCTTGAGACCTGACCGACTCTTCTGCCTTATTCAAGCTTCACCATCAGTGTTATCTTAGTAAAAACTTCATACTTCAATGAAAAGACCTCAGAGCCTTTCTGCCATCTCTGAACCTTTGCTATAAATGATCGGTTTCTTGATGCGTAAACTGTCTCTGACTGAATTGATTCGGTTTACCATCGAAATAAGAGACACTCACCTGGTGACCCGACGATTGCTGCAACAAAAAGAAAGACAATCAGTTATTAGTCATGGAGCTTAACAGTCCTGTTTTAATGTTCAGGAGGGAGATTCATATTATTTATATATATAAAATGTTATGTTTGTGATTTGTGAGAATGTGAATGAGATTACCGTGGTAACCCGGACACCTTGTCTACTGACTGTTTGTTTTTTAAAAATTCCTCCCAAACTATTGGCCCAAACTTTGATGTGTGAAAGACCTGCTCCCAGAGACATCAGTCCAATCAGTCATCTTTCTAGCAGGGGTGCGAACTTTTGGCAAAATAAGCCATTGATGTGGTTCATGTAGATCCAATGAGTTTTTCAACCCGGGTCTGGACTTCCTAGCCCCCAGAAAGTGCTCCGTGCTTTAAAGTCAATTTTATTAGTGGCCAAAAAGCGGCTATAAAACGGTGGATACAAGCTCTGCAAAATGACTCATTTGACCATCAGAATTTGATCCGTTCGTTGGATAGCCACATGATTATTATCACTTTACCCCCATTCAAGTTAGCGAAGGACTAAACCGGAAGTTAGCCGGTAAGTCAAGGAACATATAGCGTCAAATAGCCACCAACTTTTCACCCCTGATGAGTTTCTGATCCAGGCACTGATGTCTTATAGGGCTTTTCCTGTGCTGAGTGTCTGGAACACCGTGAGTCCACGTTACCACGAGCTGGATGTTTAACTGCTGCTGCAGCAAAAAGCAGCTTCTTATGGCTTTCCTGATATTTTCTCCAGACTTTATGGAACAAAAAATACGTTTGCAATATTTAAAATTAAATCGCAGCCCAACCCGTCCTGGACATTTGATTTGTCTGTAGGAGCCACCTGTAAGTAAGGTCTCTCTCTATGTTTATGGTCTTTTATTCATAATATTGCACTGATATTGTTGGTGGTGGGCGTGTTCGCCGGGGTTAGAGTGGAAGTGACCCTAAATTGTCCTTAGTGTGACTGGTTGTTTGTCTATGTGTGGCCCTGCGATGGACTGGCGAGCTGTCCAGGGTGTACCCCGCCTTTCGCCCCAATGCCAGCTGGGATTAGCTCCATCCCCCCGCGACCGTGTACGCAGGATAAGTGGTTGACGATGGATGGATGTTATTGTCCAACTGACGAGCAGATGTTATAAACGTGCAGCTATCAGCTCTTACAGCCATCTAGAAGAAGCTCTGTTTCCACTGTTTGTCAAACTGACACCTAATGAGCTGCGGTCAATAAACAAAAGCCTGATCAGCACACAGACACACAGAGTAATTACCAGATGCTGTGGACTGTGGCGGGTGGGAGAGAGAGAGAGAGAGAGAGCATATTATTGGAAACTAATACCTCACACGCTCACATAATGAACGTAGGAGATATTGGAAACTCTAATCTCTCTCTCTCACTCTCATATACTGGTGAAAAATAATTACAGCTCTGGCGCGCACACACTTACCTCCTGACACCCATATATAATCCTGAAGCTGGAACCTCCTTCCACATACTCATCCTCACCACCGGGTTCTCCTGCACAGCCCTGCACACACACACACACACACACACACACACACGTTAGGAAATATCTGCACCAAACAAACAGCGTAAAGCACCTGAAGACATCAAAGAGCTGGGAGTGGAGTCTGTACTTCCTGTTCTAGTTTTTACTTTTGTCAGACAAACTTTAAACAATAACAATCTGTTCACTTTGAGTGTGTGTTTAATAGCGTATAATATAATGTCAACTGTGAAGTGTTAATATCACTCTTTTTCAGATTTTGTTTCTCCAAATCTGATTTATTTATTTCTTTGTGTTATGTTTTATTAGTATCCACAGTACATTTAAATGCAATTAATTTGTATATAATTGTGTGAATGACAAGGAAAAACAACCCATGAGGCCTTTCAGTCTCTGCTAATTAATGTGTATAAACAATCTATTTAAGTGACTCATTAACTTACAGCCTAAATTAACTGATCCTTATAATAACCTCAACAACTAAAATGGTGTGTGACATTTTCTGGCACTGGAGCTCATTAGGCTGGAGTGTGCCACCGAATAATTATCAATGACTTAGCTTATGATTTATAAATTGTGAAGTGGTTAATGACAATTTGCATTTACAGAGTGCAGTTTGAAAAAGCCAGTGTTAAAATCTTAAACCCACCCAGTTGTTTTCAGCTGGTTGTATTGTTATTCTGTTCCAGTATTTTTATTGTGTAAGAATAAATAAATAAAATTAGGGGGAAATATATACAAATAAATGCTCATTAAAGGATCTTATTAGATGATGTGATTGAGCGTAAAAAAGTGTTTGTGCACTCACACTTTGCGCAGCCTCTGCCTGTAGACCAGCAGAGAGACGACGGCCACCATCATACCGATCAGGAACATCCCGGCACTCAAACCCTCCACTACGCCCCCTAAAGGCTCTGACGCACAACAACAACACAGGAAGGGACAGGAAGGGACAGTTAGATCCATGCGTGAAGTGTGTGTGCGTGCATGTGCGCGTGCGTGTGTGAGACTCACCTGCGTGCGTCCTGAGTGGTGAGGACAGGTAAGTGTCGCTGAAGAGCGGCTGAGGAAACTCTCGGTGGTTTTCATCAAACAGTCTGGTGAACGCTCGCACACTCAGCCTGAAAACAAACACACAGTCATATTCTTCAGACTTCAGCAGTGTGTGTGTTGGTGTACGCGTGCGTGTCTGTGCGTCGTACCTGTAGGAGGTCTTGGGTTTCAGCGGCCCGTCACAGAAATCGCCATATCCGTCGTTCAGATAGAGGTCGTCGTCATGATAACGATCACAGGCCCCACCCAGCCGATCCCCTCCTGCACCCAGGTTCACCTCCACCACCTGATCGATTAGTGAGTAGATACAAACAGTCACATAGATAGTAAAAAAAAATATTTATGACTTTTGTTATTTGTATTTTTTTAGTAGTCTGTTGAATTTATGTTTTTAGTGATATTTTAAGGCGTTTTATTATTTTGTTGTAGATGTTGCTGTTTGAATAGATTGTTTTGTTATTGCAGGTTTGTTTTTATTGTTTTGTTGCTGCTGATGGTATCAGACAACTTGAATAAACGTATTTTCAATTGCAAGAAATATAGTTAAACACTTATGTGTCATTTTTCTCCCGTTGCAATTTTGTTTTCTTTATACTGAAATTACAACCTACAACTTAATAACATGACTATAAACATCTTATTGTTACTGTATATACTGCCACAAGCTGTTTAATGCATTCAATTATTCATTAATCTGAACAAAATAAAATACTTTTATTAATCATAATTTTAACCCAAACCTATTTACATTTAAGAAGCTTGAATCAGAGAACTTTGACTCTTGAACTTTTGACTTGATTGATTTTCAAAATAGTTGGCAAATCATTTAATAGTCAACAACTATCTATTAATCGTCGTAGCTTTAAGTGATTGTTTCTGTTGTCACCTGTCCAGCGGAGATGTCGGCGTCCTGTGGACAGCGGCTGGAGAAGTATGCGGTCTGATACGCTCTGACAGAGGAGTTGTTGATGTAATCGCGGTAGGATGGCAGAGGGTGGCGCTGGTCTGGCTGCAGCATCTCATTGGCTGTCAAAACACATGTAAACAGTTAGAGGAGGAGCTGAGAAATTTACTTCCTGTTGGCAGGTTTGAAATTGTTTTGGGTAGCTTCTGGTCATTTGGGCGGGGTTTATAGTTTGCTTAAACTTACAGTGAGCCAAAGTCCCTCCCCTTTCGGCCCATGCGGAAAAAAAGTCGGTAGTGAATAGCAAGAGACAACTAATGTTTTGATCCCGTTGAAATTGTGTCCTGATGTTTGTCAGTTTAAAAGATAATTTAAGTCAAGAAAGTCGCACTTTGTCATAAAACTGTAAAGTAACGTAAAGTTGTGTGTGAAACCGCTCATTGAAATACATCTCTCATCTCGCACAATATACGTCACAAACATGTTAGCGCTGTAATGCTAAGCTAACATTTATTGCTTGTGTGCAACTAGCTAGGTAACTTAGCTATGTTGCATGCACAGATAGATTTCACCCGATGTGTTTAATCCAACGACTCCTGGTCCTTTCATCACATCTTTTACACATGGAAGCTCTTTGACTTTAGCTTAAAGTAACGTTAGCTCCAGTAACGTAATCTTCAGTAATGTTAGCTTAAGTACCATTAGCTTCATTAACATTATCTTCAGTGACGTCAGCTTCAGCAACGTTACATTCAGTGACGTCATCTTCAGTAACATTGGATTCAGTCATGTTAGCTTCAATAACGTTATCTTCAGTGACTTCAGCAACGGTATATTTAGTCATGTTAGCTACAGGAACATTATCTTCAGTGACGTCAGCTTCAGTAACTTTAGCTTCAGTCACGTGAGCTTCAGTGACGTTAGCTTAAGTGACGTAAGCTTCAGTCATGTCAGCTTCAGTAACATTAGCTTATGTAACTTTACATTCAGTCATGTTAGCTACAGGAACATTATCTTCAGTGACGTCAGCTTCAGTAACTTTAGCTTCAGTCACGTGAGCTTCAGTGACGTTAGCCTAAGTGACGTAAGCTTCAGTCATGTCAGCTTCAGTAACATTAGCTTATGTAACTTTACATTCAGTCATGTTAGCTTCAGGAACGTTAGCTTAAGTGACGTAAGCTTCAGTCACGTTAGCTTCAGTCATGTCAGCTTCAGTAACATTAGCTTATGTAACTTTACATTCAGTCATGTTAGCTTCAGGAACGTTATCTTCAGTGACGTCAGCTTCAGTCATTGAGAGAAACAGTTGTCACATACCCGACTTTAGGGTTTTTAGTCTTTCTAATTACGTATTTTCAGTCATACTTAAACAGTTTTACGACAAAATGCCTCACCGTTAACTACCAAACATATTTTTTCCAAATTAAGGTCCAGTAGCAGTCCACCGGAAAGAGAGGGGCTTAAATTCTCTATAATCTAGTAAATGATCCGAAGGCCAGAGGGGCATCTTCTGAACACTTTGTTGATTTTATTCAGCTACAAAACATTCCAGGGAGGCTGTACTTCACTGTAACATTATTTTAAAATAAATAAAAAACTGAATAAGCATCAATACGAAGCAAAAGATTTGGCTGCTTTCATGAAAGCTGGGCAGCTATTTGTTCTCCAGAGCTGAAAATCAGTGCTGGTAAAAACGTTTCTGGTCTCAGAAGACTCAGAGCAGAAGGCAGATTATAAAACCAATGTAAATTTGTGAATCCTTTATACCTGTAGTCAGTGGATTCATATTAAGCATTTAAAGTGTGTGTGTGTGTGTGTGTGTGTGTACCATCTGACTCGGCCACGATCACAGCGAAGTAACGGACGGCCCCGTTGGCGTCACTGAACCAGGAGCAGTTGAAGCGAAACAAGATGGAGGACGATGTGACCTTCGATGACCTCCCACTAACACGTACGCTGGGGGGCGGGGCCGGAGGGCCTGAAAGGAAACCGATTCATTAAACAGACTGTCAGCCAAATAAATTAAACAGCATAACGTTTATTTTGTTTTTCTTTGTCTTTTAAACTTTATTTTTACACTATTTTATATCATCTTTGACACGTCTCCACTTCCTCCCACTGCAAAAAAATAAAGCCAGAATATCCCGGACCCGTAACAACATTGACTAATTATTATTAATAATGATTATTCTATAATATATGTTTTGGTTATTTTAAATTATAAGATGGTAAGTCAGAATTATGACTTATAAATCACCTCACTAGTAATTATGAGAGGTCAGACTTATGACGTTAAATGATTTATTTACAGGACATGCCATAATTATGAATATTTTAAGATTAGGTCATATATTTGACTTACCATGAGTGTATTTATTTCTGTTATGGCTACTTTTTCATGTTTTTGAAATGTGCTTCTGTAAAAAGGAAAAGCCTCCAAACAGAGAGAGAAACTTATCTCCCTCTGCTCAGTTTCTCTCAATAGAAAAAGGCTCTCAGGGACTTTACAGAGTCGTCGTCTTTTTATTTTTGTTCCTCGTCTTTTTCTTTCTGTCTCAGTCCAGTTGTGTCAGGATGATTTATAATGCAACACAGGCAGAGAGAGCGAGTGTGGAGACAGACGGATGTGAACAAAGAAAGAAAAAGGGTTTTGGGTCACAGTGACTTTTTATGAAAAAGGAAAAAATAAGCTAGTGATCAGACCAGAGTATCTTTTCAACGCTGTGGTGAACAAACAAACTAAAGAAAGTTCCTTTGTCATTTGTTCTTTTCTGCACTGGCTGTTAATGTTAACACACAAACTACTTCTTATACAGAAATAAGTTGTTACTAACTAAACCTACTTCCTGTCTGTGGCTTTCATTGGTTCCTGCACACAAATATTTAGTTTAATTTTTAAAAAGGTTCAGAAATTTTCTAAAACATCTGCTCACTGTAGTTTCTTTCAAACAAACAGAGGGAAATAGTGCATTTGTTGGGGACTAGACAGAAAAATTAAAAGTTGTATTTTAATTAATATTTACTAATCAGCTTTCTGACAAGCAGAGCTGAAATTAGGTTTAAAGGCCGTTTGTGACAACTGCATATAGAGATACTAATTTTGACAATTGTACAACAGGCTGTTTGAAACAATCAGCACAGAGATGTTTGATTTGTGTTCACTACAAGGTTATCGAAAACGAGGCTTGGGAAAACAGTTTTGTTAACTGAAATTTAAAAAAAAAACTTTTACAACGATAAATAAATGAAACTGTATTGTCTTGTTTGCAAAATAAACAAATTATGCAGTAAATGGTTTTAGTTTTCGTCTTTGTCAATGTATTTCATAGGGACTACAACTAACACTGAAACTAATGAAAACTAAACTTAGCATTTTCAAAAAAACAAAAAAAAATAGCAAACTAAACAAAAAGTGTAAACAAAAAGTAAAAACGAAAATAAAAAATATAATAACTTTGTGTTTATTAGAGCCCAAAAATATTGTGATCAAATTTATTTCCAAGATCAAAACCCCTTGAGATGTACCATCTCATTTTCGAGGGCGTCCTGACCAAAAACATACGATAATACAAGATGACACAATATACAGCAAACAACAAACACACTTACAATAGTAAACATTTAAGATTACAAAAAGAAAACACACACAAATTCTAGACACCAACACTAACAGTAAAACAGTACAGTAATAATTAAGAATAATTAACAGGAGCAGTCTGTCGTAAGGTGAGTAATAAGAGCATTTTAAATGAACCTAGATACTATTTAAGAAAAAAAGGAGTAATTTTGGACCCAGCTTATGTCTTTTAATAAACTAGATTAATACCAGCTTTATCTTTTAATGGTGCCACCTGATTTAATCAATGACTAGTTTAAAATTAGCGGGCCGTTTTCAGAGAACAAACTTAATGATGAATTTCTGAATGAACCCAGTTTGGCTGTTCCCTCCGTCTCTCTGCGTCTCTCAGGGGAACAGTCCTATTTAAACAGAGTTTTTATTTAAACACCAGACTCAACTACAGCACCTGAGGGGAGAGTGAGTGTGTGTTGTCCAAAAACCGGGATTTACTATACTTGTGGGGGCCACAATACTGGACCCATAAGTTTAAAGCGCTGTTTGAGAGCTGAATTAAGTTAAGTTTAGGGTAAAGGGCTAGGGAATGCATTATGTCAATGAAGATAAACATGAGTGTGAACTCACGGTCTATCATGGTAATGGTTGTATGAGTCGCAGGTGGACTCATCTGTCCGGCTGACGACACTCTGACTGTCACTGAGTACTTCCTGTACGCCTCCAGGTGGTCCAGCGTTACAGCGGTGACGCCACCCGCCAGCCTCAGCTCCGAGGTCAGATCCCCGTCATCGTGGCGACGACACTTGACCTCGTAGGAGTCGAAGTCGGCGAGGGGAGGCGACCAGGAGCAGGAGAGGGAGGACGAGGACAGAGGGAAGCAGTGAATGGACTTCAGTGGAGACGGACCTGGAGGAAAGAAGGAGACAAGGACACATGGAGAGGAGGAGGAGGAGGAGGAGGAGAGACAAGAGGAAACAAGTGGGAAGAGAAGGAGTGGTGCGAAGGAAAGGTAACAAAAGGAGGAGGAGAAATCGGCAGAGAAGAGTGTAGGAGTGGAAACGAGGGAAGGAAGAGACGGAAAGGTGAGGCGATGAGGGAGAGGAAAGAAGTTGAGGAGGAAAGGAAAAGAGGGTATGAAGAGGCAGAGGAAAGGAAGGAAGGAGACAAGAGGAGAAAAGGAAATTAAAAGGAGGCAGGAAAGGAGATGATAAAGGTGAGGAAGAAAAGACAAGTGAGGTGAGGGGAGAATAAAAGGAGTGAAGGAAGGAGTTCGGAGAGAAGAGGAAAGAGGAGAGTTGAGAAGAAATGTGAGGAAAGGAAAGAGGATAGGAGACATGGAAGAGAAGGAGAAAGGGAGGGAAAAGAGGATAGGAGGGAAGGAAATAAGAGACAAAGGAGAGCAGAAGGAGGAGTTAGTCCAATAAAATTATTTTATTGTGTTTTTTGCTGAGTCACCGTTCGTGTTTCCTCTTCTTCTTTTGTATTTTCACAGGAAGGTCGTCTGTACTTTAACTAATGAGGGACGAGTCTGCTGCTCGTTTCGTCTGATGAGGCGATAAAAGCGTCTCTGAACGGGATGATGAATGTGTGAGAGGACGGAAAGACGAAGGTGAAGGAGAACACATTCATCTTTTTGTTTCTGTCTCCTCGAAGCAAACGGAAGATAAAAACCCCATAAACTCGCAGTTATTTATGGGAAAACATCAGCTGCTGTAGTTTAAACACGCAGACTTTCTTTCGGAATTAATCATTTACGAAACTGTCAAATGGCAACAGGATGTTCTGGTTTGTGTGACCAAACTATTGAACAATCGGTCTTTGTTCTATATTTTTCTTAATGTCAAAAAATCCCATGTGAAGTCTGTGGCGATCAGCTCCAAGCCCATTGGTTCCTCCTGAGGACACGTCACAGATGCATGATGTAGTTTCAGGAGGAAATAGTGCACTTGTTGGGGACTATTTTCAGCGGCGGATGAATCTGCATGTGGTTCTCTAGTGAGTACTTGAGGCAGCAGGACGGACTAATAATGTTATGTCAGATCGCTACGCTCTGTCACGTCTTTCGCCGTCTGTTACCAACGCACATGGTGCTAAAAATATACATAAAACAAAATAACAGAAAAGTCTAAGTAGGTGGGACAAAACCCGGACTTTCACAGAGGAGACCGGAGTTCGACTGCTGTGTGAAAGAAAGTCAACATTGATTCCTTTTACTGATGTTACATAAGTGGTGTTACTGAACCGTATTGGTCCAATTTTGACATTTTTTCCCCCTGAAGAATTAGTCTTAAAAACTCACCTCGTCTCATTTCGGGCTGTATCACTTTTAATATACACCCACAACAACAGATGGCGCCAAATGTCAGCAAAGCGCATGTTACCCTCCTGACTGAAGCGCGTCACCGTCCCAACTGAAACATGAGGACACGGCGACCGTTTCGAACAAAGTGGCTGAAAAAGTTGGTCAAGTTAAGCAACAGCTGAGGCGGAGCTGTGATACCAATTTTTATTTTTCCACTGAGATGGACAGCTACCGGTAGACTGTCTGTTTTCATTTTTATGATATTTACTGAAAATATCATAAGTAATTTATTTACAAATGCGATAATCTGATCATTTTATTTACATAGTAATTTTAAATGTGACTTTAAATGCAACATTATTTTATTTAAAAGATGTTAAAAACAACAACCTACCTTGTTTTTTATTATTATTAAAATATATTTTTTACTTTCAGTCTTTAAAAACGGAGGGGGGGGATCGTCTTATATTCAGACCATCCGGTAATTTAAGTCAGGTGAGTAATGTACTTATTTTAAGTCAAACCAGGATCTTTTCCTAAATCTAACCAAACTGCAACGTTTCAAAACGTTAACCACTAGTTTCATTTTGAAAGTTTAACCGTACATCGCATATTTATTCTTGCCAACTTGACCGCGGAGCCCGACACGTACAAAAAGGGCTGAAGGGTACCCACCCTCGCTTGTACTGACTGCACTATTTGTTAAATCTTACCTCTCCCTATGTTTCTATTGATGCCGTACGCGTTAACAGCTCTTACTAGTGTCTAAGTTGTTTCGGATAAAAGCGCCCAATGAGCAAATGCAGATGTAACAGCTGTACAGTGTGTTGAAGTTAAGCGTTTGAGCTGGTCACCCAGTTTTTCACACCACTGCAGTCTCACTCCTGCAGCCGTATCTGGCAGGAAGCGGCTTCTTTTTGTACATATAAGTTGTATTTTCTTGTCTCCCCTGTGTGATCAGGCTCAGAAAAAAAGATCCTCTCTGTGCAGAACTCTTTATAAACCCTCAACGCCAAGGTCCCCACTGCACCACAGGAAGTTGGTGTGTACTCGCCACAATATACTGACTGTGTGTGTGTGTGTGTGTGTGTGTATTTCTGGTAAATACTGCATCACCTCTTTGGCTGACCTCAGCTGAAAGAAATGAGAAACTAGGTCAGTCCATACATATTTATAATGTGTGTTCAGTTTTATTCCTTCTGCCGATCAGTTTTGATCCCTGCAGCCAAAACAGAATGTGATTAAAAATCAGAAGAGGAAACAGAAGAGAGCCGCGTTTTCCTTCTGCTTTCAGGGCCTTTGTTATGTTCTGCCATCTAGTGGTTTGAATAAGAAACATCAGATCTGATTCATGAAGAGCTTGAAGAGACTTTGAGTAACAATGAGAAGGACATCTTAAAGCCACAGCGCACAGTGATGTGACACGAGTGATCTTCCAGCTTTGTGTGGAACTTGAGCCCAGCACCCAAACGTATCAAGTCTCTCAGAAGAAGTTAAACCAGATCCCAAAGCGGGACTGAAGGTTATATAAGAGAGAGTCGTCGTTTTGCAGCACTCTCGGTCGTAGACATTTTGACGATGTGTTGAGGCTTTTCTGACTGTTGTGATTTGAAATATTATCTTTATTTAAAAAATGCATTTCTTGTCCAAGTGCAGAGTCCAAAAAGGTACAATGCTCCCTTTAAAAAGCTCTTATGTTATTTAATTTAGAAAAATTCATCAGCTACAGAGGTAAAATATTGACCTGTGATGTTTTATGTGTATATGCAAATATGATGCCAAAATCAATAAATAGCTTCAATCTTATATTGATATTTACCACTGGCAACCCAGGAGCGTGGCTTAAATATGCAAAATAAAAGTAATCTGACTCAGCAGCTTGAAATGATCCATCCAAACATTTAGTTTCAGAATACCTATAATGGTGCTACATGCTACATGTGCAGTATTTGCACACTCAGTGATGATGTTGAAAACTTTTTTGTGGACTATAGAGATTGTTTGCACAGAGGGGACACTTTCCATTTCTTATTTCAGCTACAGCCATTAAAAGGAAAGCTTTCTTATTTTGGGAAAATTTCCAACAGTGAGACGAGAGAATGAAAATTCTTGGCTGAAACCAAATATAATGAAAAAATTTGCCGAATACCAACCATTGCATAAATGAAATAGTCAAAATGAGCTTTTTCCTCAGTGTTTCCTGCAGGATGTGGAGAGACTATGGTGGGGGGTCCGGATCCCGAGAGGGTCCGGTAAAGTAAATTACATGTGTCCATTTATTTTTAATGGACACATGTAATTTGTTTTATACTTTCTGTGAATATAATCCAATTATTCTTATTACCATCCAGTCCGACCCAGTCAGATAAATAATGTTGTATGTGGTTCTCCTACGGCGTAACACGAAGACTTCACAGCCTCTCTTCATACTAAAGTGACAAACTGACAGGATAAAGTCTCTAACCTGCCTGTCAGCTCGCTCTGGGCCGCTTCACTTACCGTAAAGGCTTGAATACGTGTGCACTCCAAATGTAGGTGCGGCTAGCTTAATCTCCTTCTCCGAAATGAGTGACAGAAACACTCTTTTCTAAGAAGTCAGCCACAGATGGAGTGGACGTGCTGGGAGACGATTCAGCAGAACAGCGTCTGCAAACTTTTGCGTCTTTCTCGGACACTTTAAAATACTTCCAGACTGCCGACATGTCAGCGTAATTGTTGGGTAAAATTCGGTCTTTTGACGTATTAGGCCGAACACCGGAAGTGCTTTTTTTGGCCAAATTATTTTGGTGACCGAACATTCGGTGCATCCCTAAGGATGATATCAACGTGAACGGAGAGAGTCAGGACATGGTTAGCATAGCTCAGCTCCAATTGATTTGCAGTTTTGGGTTTTTTGGGGTAAATATTTCCGAACTGTCATCACGGTAGAAATTAAAACCTCATAAATTCAAATTCAAGACAATTTGATGAGTTTGGAATTTGTAAAACTGAGTTTAAGTCTTTTTCCACCTACTTGTCCTGACGCCTCTCTGGATTGGCCGGCTCCTGACTGCGGGTCCGGCCCCTGCTCCACTGATGGTCGCCACTGTGAAGTTGTAATATCGCCCTGGAAACATCCCGCCAAGGACGCGGCTGGTCAGGTCAGTCTGTGTGACTGACAGGCGGTCTGGAGGAGTCCACTGCAGGCTGAAGTTGTCGTAGTCCCCGGAGTTAGGACCGGACCAGGACAGCTCTATCGTGTCATTGGCCGTGCCTTGTTTGACTGACAGGTGGGTGGGCGGCTCTGGAGCTGGAAGGAACATTAATAGTATTAATACAAATAGTTAATATTGTTTAAGTGTCATTAACTACAACTAAATCTGTGTTTAAGTGTTTGTGCTTACAGGTGCGTCCGACGGCTGAGATGTTATTGGTCAGCTCCCCGCTGTGCGTGATGACCTCAGCACGGTACAGCCTACCAGGGATCAGCCCAGAGAACACGTGACTCGTGTGCTCTGCCCCGAGCGTCTGGGCTCCCAGAGTGGCGCCAGAAACGTCGTACAATACCACCTTAAATCACACGTACACAACGGGTAAGATTTAGTAACAGTGCTGCAGGAAACAGAGGTTGTTTAAGAAGCAAGAAAATATCATTCAAAATTACTTTTAATTAAATTTTGCAATATGTTTTTTTTACAGTGACTTGAAATCATGTTTTATATTAGCAATATGAAATCCGGTGGCCTCCGGCAACAGTCAATGAGAGCAAACTGACCGGGAAGCGTCCCCAGCGTGTTGTGTATCTGCTCTATAAAATGTAAACCTGCTGATTCCCTCTTCTCAGCCTCAAGTTCATCCAGCACACACAAGGTCAACCAGCCTCCATGTTTGTTCCTGTCTGAAGTCACATTTGCGTTTCAGTGAGATGACTGGGAACCGCCACTCTGAAACCGTTTAGTATAAACCGCAAGTCTGTGGTCCTGCACTGTTGTGTGTTTTTTTAAGATTAAAATACTAAAGAGGTGGAATTAAAATCTTATTTAGTGGTTGTACCAGAACAGGTTTACATGGTTTCATTAAAAAAAAAAAACACCATATTTTTTGTCATACTGCACATTGCTGCAGCTCCTCTTTTCAGCCTGTGTTGAAGGCTTCATTTTAGCTATGGAGTGATACATCTTGTCTCTAAATGATCTTTGTTGGGAGTTGCACATGCTCAGTTCCTAGTTAAGGACTACTAGCCAATAAGGAGCAGTAAGCTTGGGTTCAGCTGTACATGTTGCCGACCAGCTTGGCAACACGGACTGGAGCGAGAGTTTCAGAGCGGTGAGTTATTAATCTGTATCCATAAAGTTTTAACTGAGCTCTGTCTCTACATCACAGGAACAACTTTATGTCCACTGACTGCCTGGAGGGTAGCTAGTGTTTGGAAGGGAGAGGAGAGCTGTGTGCTGCAGCTCGCTGTTTTTGGTGTTTCTGAGGGCGTGTCGGAGTAGCCGCTTGGCGAGTGTTATGAGGCGCATTTAGCTTTCATCCAAGGGAAGCGGCTGGACTACAAACGAGCTGTTTTCAGTTCAGAGCAGAGTTTTCTGTGGGAGATGGGAACTCCCTTTGGGCTTTTTCACTTTGCAAACCTGTTACATTCACAAAAAAAGAGATAACTCAAGAGAGGGGAAAAGCCAAAAATCAGAATACCACCCCTTTAAACTTTGCTTAAATCTGTTGTTATGTCTGAGGTATCCCACGTTTTAAAATCAGTTAAGATCTGAAAATCCTCTAGTGTGGACATTAGGGGAGTCCTGGATCATAACTTCTGAAACTTATCTTATCTTCCAGCATCCATTACCTGATAGCTGCTCCTGCTTCCCTCTCCATGCTGCCAGCTGACCATCAGTCTGTCCGTCCGTCCTGAACTCTGAACCTGAAGAGACGAAACTGAAGACGGCACTGCGGAACAGAAAAGAAAGATTATAAATAAGGAGTAAAAATAACAATGAAGAAAGATGGTAAAGAATAAGAGGAAAACAACAAAATGTAAATGTAGAAGAAGGATGACGGGAAAGCAAATGGACTGGATGAGTGATGGAAGAAGAGATAGAACAGACAAAGAGAGAAGATGAAGAGAATAAAACATGAAGTTGGAGAGGACAAAAGGACGACGGCAAACAAAATAAAGATGAAGAAGAAGATGATAGATAATATAAGACAGAATCCAGTGTACCCATCAGTACTTATATGATGGCGGCGTTGTACTGACCGGTTCTGGCCAGCACGGCGGAGTCGCTGTTCATGCCTCTGCTCCAGCTCACCACCTGCAGTCTGTACAGACGTCCTGCTCGCAGGCCGGAGAACACACAGCTGTCTACAGCTGGACCGACCTTCTGCAGGTCCACCAGCTCCCCCGCCGCCTAACACAGGTACAGTACGTCACACGGTGACATGAAGTACTATTTATCATAAATATATTACGTATCAAGATAAAAGTACATCAAATGTTTACATGTAAAATTTTTAATTAATCCCACCTGTTGATGCTCCTTCCTGCTCGCCGCAGCGTCCTGTCTGTGATTGGTGGTTGCCTCTGTGACGCTGTAGAGCGACAGGTCGTAGATGTCGACGTGGCCGTCCGAGGGACGCCAGGAGAAAGAGAGAGAGGAGGTGTTGGTGGAGGTGACTGTTAGATTACTGACTGCAGCCGGACCTGGACAACAAACACAGAGAGGATTTAGGTTTAGCAGGTCACAGTTCAGGACTCGTGAAATAAAATGTGAACTGCTCGTGAGAAAACGATCACTAGTTCCTTCCGTCATCATTGTCTGGTATTAACAGGAGGTTAGTTAAGGCAACTCTGGAATTAGGGGGTTGAAAGAGGAAACCCACGACCCAAGGAGTCACATTCTGTCATTGAGTTACTTACGGATGGAATTATAACGAAAATATTTCTTTCCCCTTTTTGCTTAAACCACCTCAAGGACCCCTGGACTGCCATCACTTTTATTTTTTTAATTTAAAATATCCAAACTTGATCTGAGCCTAAAGATTTACACAGCAAAACGCAGATTCATGAGCAAAATTGAGTTTAAAAAAAAATTCTTTCACTTTTTTGTTTTCATCGGACTCTCTTACCCAGTGAGAACCACAATGGAAATAAGCTTTTATTGTGGTTGTATTCTCGTCGGGAACAGGTGATTATAGTTTTATAGATCTATCTGGGCGATGTGGCCAAAAATGTAATAACGATAAATATAATATCATTCAGTATCAATAATTATCAGGATAAATGTTACATCATTATTTCTTCTCACAAATCTGAGGTAGAATATTCAAAACTATAGATAAAAACTTCTCAGTCCTTTTTTTTTCCCTCAACAAAATAAATAGTAGAAAAATTAAATGCTAATTTGTTCACAATTTAAATGAATTAAATCCAACATTTAACAACAAAGTATCACAATCAACCGATGAATAAACTAACACCACAGAGGAACATGCGTCTTTGACCCAAGTCCTCTTCATAGTTGTTGTAACTTTAACTCACGTGTTTGTCCCTCTGCTGTGGCCTCCAGCGACGGGACGCCGCCGCTGAGCGTCGCCACCTTCACGCGGTACCACTTTCCTGACGTCAGACCTTCCAGACGCTCGCCTCGATTCTCTGCGGGAACCAACCGAGTGGCAAGAACGACGCCGGCCTCGTCCAATAACTGCAGACTGTAGCCGTCGTACACGCCCGACGGCTTCTCCCAGCTGACGGCGAGACTGTGGGTGGTGTGGTCGTTATCCGCCTGCAGGGCGGTGACTCTGGCCGGAGCTGCAGGGGGGAAATACAGTAATCAGCTTTTTAAAGGTTTTTCTCCAATTTAAATGAATCAGATCAAATCTTGTGGCGTCTTACCGGTCCTGCCTGTGGCTGTCTTCCTATTGGTTAGCGTCCCGCTCAGTGATTGGATGGTAATGGTGTAGGCGCGGCCTGGGATCAGATCCACAAAGTCCAGGGAGGAGACGTGTTTAGGGACAGTGCGAGTCTCGACGATGGCGCCATCCTGGAAACAGGATGTGACAGAAGAATATTCATGAAACCACCGTCTTATCAGTTCATCCATTTCTCTCCCTCGTTCATCCTTTCACCAGTTCACTGATCAATCTTTCATCCACCATCTCTATATTTTCCTTTAAAGTCGGGAGACACAAAATAATCTTCCGTCTCTTAACTCGTCTCCTGGATGTCAAATACTGGAGCATCTTTATCTTTTGTCCTGTGAGAGGTGTAAAGTTACAATCAGTCCCATCAAAGATCAGATTAGACGACCATGTTTTAGAAATGCAAACAAGCTGCTTTGTTTACAACTTAAACCCACAAGCTAACGGGTCGAGTGCCGTTATACCGGCTAGCTGATAGATTTGATAAATGTTTGTAGGAGGAAGAGGAAAGATGGATTTTGTTATATTTATATATTTTATATTTGTTATGTTATTCATCAGAAATGATCCCTGAGGGGAAACTCTTGTGTTACCATTGATCACTAAGCACATCGAGGCAGAAAGGAATAGAAATAATAATAGAAAGCCGGTAAGTAGAAAATGTAAGAAATGTACAAATCTGAAAACATAAGTAAAATATAGGAGGAGTGCAGATTATTTGTATTTTAAAGTATTAACAGAAGTGTAATGATAAATAGTGGTATTAAGTATTAAAACAGAGAATACTGCGCAGTATGTCAGTTTAATGAGTTTCTGCCACTGAGGGAGGAGTTAAACAACGTACACGAAGGACACGGGATAAGAAGCTAGAAAATGTATTTTTTATTTCATAGTTTCTTCAAGGAGAGTAAAAAAAAATCTTTTCATCGCTGGTCCTGAACAAGAAAATACATTTTCTCTGGCCTTTTTTCTATCGCCACTTTTAAACATCCTCCTGCAGCAGGTTTTAAGAAGAAGAAGATTTACTTTATTTAATTATTTAGTTATTATGTTAGTATACACACAGGTCTAAGTTATTGTCATGGCGACACGACTGCTTCATTTTTGTCTGTTACACTTTTTCACCTACTTGTTTTAAGTTGAAGTGCTTTTCTCTTTAAAAGATGACTTCATACGTCCAGGGGTTTTTCTGCTCTCTTTGAATAAATACTGAATTTACTCTTTTACTGTGAATTAGTTGGACTCACCGTGGTGGACAGAGAGACGTTGTACACGTCCAGGTCTCCGTCTCCAGGCGTCCAGGAGACCAACAGCCCGCCAACGGAGTCCGTCAGGCCGGAGCGAGGCCCCAGATGAAGGTTCCCGACTGCACTGGGGACTGGAGAGGACAGTCTGGGTTCAGCAGAGCCGGACTCAAGATGTTTAAAATCAAAGTTAGGCGATCGCCTCACCTGTCCGCACCTCGATGAACTGCGCCTTCTGGTACGGCCCGCTGAACGTCGACACCACGATCTTATAAAGACGCCCGGGGGTCAGAGAGGTCAGCCGGTGACGTCGCACCTCGCTGCCCAACGTGACCGGAGGGAAAACCCGAGTGTCGTTGAAGAGCAGAGTGACCTGAAGACAAGCAGAGTGAAGAGCAGGACTAAAACTCCTCTGAGGCAGCAGCGATCACTAAAATCTTTGTCCTCAAAATACAGAATGAACGTTCTCAGTTAATGTCTGCGTTTATGGTGACTACATGAAGCTTAACGTCAGCAGCAGAAATTTGCCGGATGGATATTTATATATGTAGAAGTGTCACATAAAATCAGAATAGTAGCTGTAAAAGTTAAGCAGTAAAAGTCAGTAGGCCACATTAAACACTTACAATCACTTTTAAACTCCACTTCCTCATAATATGGTTAGTTCTTTGCCTAAAACAGACTCTAATCATCAGCAATACAAACGCTCACCTCATAGTGGTCCACGTCTCCGGGGGCGGGGCTCCAGGTGACGGTCAGTTCAGCTGTTCCTGCTTCACCTAGCGACAGATTTCCAACAGCTGACGGAACTGAAGGACAAACAAGACGTTAAAGCTCAAAACAGTCAATAAAAAGCATGTGTTACATTTGTTTCCCCGCTTTCTGACTCACAGGTGCGTCCGTCGGTGGAGACGCTGCTGACGTAGTCTCCGCTCCATGTTTCCACGGTGACAGTGTAGAGTCTCCCCGGCGTCAGAGACGAGAAGACGCACTCGTTGTGTCCGGCGGAGACGATCTTGTTCTGCAGCACGCTGTTGTTGTAGTGGATCAGAACCACGTAGCGGTCCAGATCCCCAGCTGCATGACGCCAGTACACCTGACACGGGGAATAACACTTGTACTGAACAGAAACTTAACAAATATGACGGTAAAGCTGCAATGATTAGTCCCAGCTAATCTATGAAATTACTATTAAATTAATTACAAACTACTTTGATAATCAATTAGTCGTTCTGAGTCATTAATTAAGAGAAAATTTCCACACGATTTCAGCTTAAATGTGAATATTTCCCGGTTTCTCCTCTGACCTTCTCCAGCGGCCTGTACTACGAAGCGAAGTAACTGGATCCAGATAACTTCAGGAGTAACTTTGTGATGTCGGGTGTAACTTCCAGATTAACCCGTACGACCAAAGGTGGACAGGTGTTAACCGAGGTCTGTTGCCTTGGTGATTTATGCCGCATCTCTAAACTGCTCCGAGCAGGTTTTGTTCGTGGTTAACTCGAGGTTACTCTGTATACGTGGACTACACACCACATCTGTACTCAGTGTTAATGACGAGAAGTATTAATACACGCCACTTCATAAAATACGTCATGTCAGAGAATATTCAAGTTTTTTACTTGTAGATTAATCCTGGAAATCAGATTATTCCCCCTCCGGCTTTTTTTTTGTTTTGTTTTTTATTACAATGGACCTTATGTGCAGTTGCACCTTTATATCCATCATATTACACATAAAAGAAGAGCCAATAAAATAAATAATAGAGACTTACAAACAAGAACACTGTGAAGATAATTACTAAATGCAATGCCAACAAGCCTCTCTGGCGTTGTCGGCCGCCATGATATTAGATTTAGCCGTTAACGTGTCTCCTCATATCCTGACACAATCAACATGCATTCTTCCGAGGAAAATACAGAGCATGTGCCGTTGCAGAAAAACACCCCTCTTATGCGAATGCGCACCAACTAACATCTTATTCACAGTCGTCAACCCTGAGTTTACTCAGAGTAGGCCACTGATCTTGAGCTTTGAGAAACACTGATAAACATTGTTTTTCCACCATTTTTTGACAGCTTATAGACCAAACATCTAATCGATTAATCATGAAAATGATTGACAAATTAATCGATAACAAAAATAATAATTAGTTGAAGTCGTATATGATGAGTGACGTTTCTAAAAATATTAAAAAAAAGGCACAATGAATTAACATTTACTTGGATTTAAATGGAACAGTGGATAAACTACCCGAACTAAAAAAGACATTTTCCGTTTTATCAGTACACACTGCTGTTCTTTTCAGGGAACTAAAGGAAATTTACCAATAATTATATTACGATATTATGTCTAAAAAAAAACCTTTAAAAAGAAATTATTTCAGAATAAAAGCTGCTCACAGCTTGTCCACACGGAGGCTTTAACCTGTGCCGAGGCTTTGCAACCAGATTGTGTTTGTTTTAAGGGCTCACAAACCACAACGGTTGTGAAATACTGCGTTATAGTCATATATCCTGGCGAGCTCTGTGTCTTCTGCTGAGGTTTGACACAGGAAGTAACCTGCTGTAAATCTAATATCCATCAGGGCTGCAACTGAAACGATTGTTTTCATCGTCACTTATTGTGTCGATTAAGAGTTTAGTTGTTTGGTCAATAAAATGTCAGATAATAATAAAAACTAATTCCCAAAGCCCAAGATGACGCCCTCAAATGTCTTGTTTTGTCCAAAATATATTCAGTTTACTGAGGAAAAAAAAAAAAAAAAAAAAGACATTTAGAGGCAATTTAGAGAATTTTTTTAAAAATTGCTCAAACCGATTAATTGATTATCAAGATAGTTGGTCATTAATTCAATGATACCATGATATATAATCAAGAATTTAAAACACACCTTGAGGAAGTCGTCTCTTGCAGAGTGAACAGCTGATGGGTTTTGCACAGTGGCCGGTTCTGCAACACAAACAACAAAATAATGTTTTAAAAAGTACAACATGCATGTTTTATTCCAGCACATATGATCTTCATGCTTTACTTAGCTGTGACTTCAGGTTTGGGAAATAATCTAATTCAGTATTTGAGTGTAAATCTGAATAGAAAAGCACATCAACATTAATGTCACAGTAATCATGAACTCTCTCACGTGTTCGTGCTTGAACCGTGGTGGCGTTCTCCAAGCTTCCGCTCCGCGTCACTATGATGACCGAGTACAGTCGTCCGGCTACCAGCGATCTGAAGGAGCACTCGGGCGGCGAGGAGCGGGACACGGCCAGCGTGTGGACGGTTCTACTTCCCTCCTGAAGGCGAACCAGGTAGCTGTCTACGACACCCACCGCTGGGCGCCAGGACACCTGCAGGGCGTCCGACCTGCCGCTGTTGGCGACGGTTACCTCCGAGACCGATGCCGGGGCTGAAAGTAAAAGATGACAGCGGTCACAAAAGATCAATGTTTTTGTTTAGAAAAGATAACCATAGTTCAACCAACACGGCCTTCACATCAGATGTGTATTTCAGTAAATATAACATTTACACCAACGCAGTATTTATTTATTGATATCCATCTTCACCAACTCAAGCTGTTGGTCCAAACATTGTTCAAAGTCACATAACTTCATTTAAAATTATTTTGGCGATTCCAAAATTTCCAAAGATACTTTTAGGAAAGTATTTTGAACTGTAAATAAAATTAGCGTGTTGCTGCCACCATTACAAAGAAAACTATGCTCAAAAGTTCTCATTTTAATGAGATGCTTTACAAGATTTTTTTAATTTCATAACATGTTTGTTATAACCTTTAAATTCAATTAATTTTATTTAAATAGCACCAAAACATAACAAGTTATTTCAAACTGTCTTCAAAGCACCGACAGAGATCACTGATATTATGTCCAGGTATAATAATTAATATTTAACACGCCTCTGGAGAAACTAGGGGTTAAGTGTCTTGCTCACGGACACATTGGTGAATGTTGCTGTGGGAATCGAACCCGGGTCTCCCACACTGGACGGACGTGTCTTAAGCTCCATCGCCACACCTTACTATTAAAGTAATAGTTCATCATTTTGGGAATTACATTTAGGCTTTTTTGCCAAGAAGATCTGTGCTGTAAGCTTGGAGCTGGAGTTGTGTTCATGTGTCTGTTTGCGTTCCCCCCTGCTTCCAGCCTTTATGCTAAGCTAGGCTAACTGCGTCCCGCCACAGCTCTTTGTAACATACAGACATGAGATCCGTCCGAACGCCTCACTGTCAGAGAGAAAAGGTTCCCGCTGGACGGCGCCAGCCAGTATGTTTTTAGTTCCATCTATCGACCAATAGGAGGCTATCTCGGGGGGCTGGGGGCGGGGTTTGTTTTTGTTTTCGCCGAGTGCCGATTGGTTGGCAGGTGAACACACATCCAGTCTGTCCTGAAAATAACTGGGACATTATGTGGGAACAAAAGGTGCTCTGAGCAGGAAGTAAGTGTGTGTGTGTGTGTGTGTGTGTGTGTGTGTGTGTGTGTGTGTGTGTGTGTGTGTGTGTGTGTGTGTGTGTGTGTGTGTGTGTGTGTGTGTGTGTGTGTGTGTGTGTGTGTGTGTGTGTGTGAGCGCAGGAAGCCTTTGAGCACTGGGAGTGTCTTTCATTCCAAACCTCATTTCTGGCATTTCGGCTATTGTTCTAAAAACTGCGATATTATCACCGAATACACTTTTACACACACACACTCACACACACACACACACACACACACACACGTTAACCTCTGGACCTTTAAATGTTGGTAACTCACTCTTCTTATATAAATCCATAAAGGTTCAGATAACACAGCATTGGCTCCATTTGTAAATGATGACTTAATTAATAATGACATTGATGATTAAAGCGTTTATAAGTTTTTGTGGAGATGATTTTCGCTTGATGTAATATAAAGACAGAATAACAGGAAGTTGTTAAATAAAGTCTTTTTGCTTTTCTTTTTTTTACATGAATCACCTGATCAATTAGAAATAAGGAGCATTCGGCTCTTTAAAGCTCAGTTTTATTTCTTTAAATTTCCCTTTTGATTTAATTAATTTAATCATTGTTTACGCAAAGTTGTAGTTACATAATGTATATTATGTAACAGTGTTGTAGTACTCAAGACCGGTCATTGAGGACTCAGGATTTTATTTCAAGACCATAACTTTGGGAATATCAATAAATTGCTTTTGCATTGTCTGATTTATTTGTTAACTTCCTAACTTTGATTGGATGTTAAACGTATTGCTCCAAATGCAACCAATAACCCTAATTAAAAATGTGTTGTTCCTGTTAACGGCTGTCCCCGCGATGGTCAGCATGGAAAAGGAGTGTTGAATAAAATGCTTATGTTGATTTCAGAGTTTGTATGTGGGTGTTTTAATTGGGAATGTAGATCTTTCAGTTCAGTTTAAGAAGTACCTCTGATCTTGTTCCACATTTTATTGTGTGCCATGTAATGTGGGGAACTGATCTTGCTCTCAGCCCCTAAAAGTCTTGGTCTTGGTCTTGTCTCGATAAACTCCAGTCTTGGTCTTGACTTGGTCTCAGTGTGGGCGGTCTTGCCTACAACACTATTATAAAAAGCTACTAAGGTTCTCGTACATTTGTTTTTTCTTTCCCTCCTAAAACATGATTTTCTCTCTAACGCAGGAAGTCATCTAGTTTTTGTTCTGCACAAATTCAGCTGCTTTAACATTTCACTATATAAGTCTGTTATTTTTAATAAAATTAAGTTGCCATTTTTTAATGTTTACAATTTAATGTCAAACTATCAAAATCCACTTTCTGGCTTTATTTGTTGCTTTGAATTACGTCCCATGATCTTTTAATCAGTTGTATACAAGAACTTATTGTCACATGATAAAAGTTTCATTCTGGTTGAAAGCTCTGGGAAGAGCTAGTAGTGAAATATGGTGTAACAACATGTTTTTTATGGTTTCAAACTAAAGTTTCCAGGGTCAAGAATTAATTTTCACAATAAGATAGAGACAGGTTTCTCACAATAAAATGCTATGCTAATAAAATGTTATTAACTTCGACTCAGTTTAAGAACTAATGTATTGACAAGCTTCTGAGTTTTGTTGCTGTTGCTCCTATTTAATCTGTTTTATTCTATTTATAAATCCTGTTTGGGTCCTTTATATATTGTCTTATGTGAAGAACTCTAAATTGCCTTTTCATTTTTGAAAAGCTGCTAAACAAAGAAACTTGACGTTGTTACATGTTTAATTATCTCAGTAGTGTTTGAACACAGAAGAAAACAAATCTGCATTTTCAGTTGTGATTAGGTCAGAATGACAGAAGGTGAACTATATCTGAGATAGATAATAAAAACACGTTACTCTCTTGTCTCAGGATCTTCTGGCTGATGTACTCTGAACTGTTTGTGAACATTCCTGTTGGTTGTTTTTCCTGTAAGCAGCAGCTGAACGTGTTTGATGGGAAACCACACAAGTCCTGAATGGGAATATTGTCTCAACACAAAAAGAGTCTGACTGACCGGCAATCAAACACACTTACATAACTCTCATAACCAAACAATCGTGCTTCTGCTGAAAAAACAAACGTCTACTCTCACAGTGACAAACTGGGAGAACGTCTGGTTTTAATCTTTTGCGTTAACTTAAAGGGTACTTGGAGATCCAACCAAAAGCACATTGGTGTTACATGTAGTTTCCACTTTTTAGGAATTTTCTAGAAACAAACATCAGCGTCTTGAAACTAGACAGAATAAAATGGCCGGACCCTACGGGTCTGAAAAGTTAAGCCAATGCTGAAGAGCCTTAAACCTGCGTCCTCTCCAGCAGCCAGCAGGGGGCGACTCCACCGGCTGCAGAAAGAAGTGTGATTGTATAGAAGTCTGTGAGAAAATGTTTCTACTTGTCAGCTGATTTATTCCCTCAGTAAACACTTTCCTGATGAGTTTATGGTCTCAGTCGCTAGTTTCAAGTCTTCTTCAACACAGCATGATGTTCATTTAGTAATTTATGGTCCCATTTAGAGGAACAGAGACCAGGAAGCAGGGGAGGCTTTAGGGCGGGGCTACAAGGAGATTGACGAGTTGAGGCGACTCATATCTGCTGCTCTGTGTACATTAAACCAGCGCCGCTGAAAAAGCTCATCAGGAGTCAGCGGTTCATTTTTCCAGTAAGTACATTTTGTTTTAAGCCTGTTTGTCGTTAGCCAGAATTAGCATCTCAGCTAAAATCACAGTAAACGTGAATTACAGATGCACCTAGCTAACCAAGCTAGCCTGCGCCACAGTCCAAATATCATCATGTCCGTTGCCTAGTTGAAAAAATAAAGAACAAAAACAAGATGTCCGCTTCTTTGATACCGTCTGTAGCTGCTACACAATGTGCAGCAACTGCAATCTGAAGAGTTCAGTTCATACTCGTCAAAATCTGAGTTTTGGGAGTCGTGGCACTGCAGTGTAAACAGAAAATATGTATGCAGGCAGAGACACGGCTTCTCACTCATCAGGTTCATTGGCAGGGTTTTAGAAACACTTATGTGCCCCCGCCATAAAGAAGGGGTCAATTATTTATAATTGGCCAAATGTTTTCTGTATCTGTATTAATACAGTTAACTGTTATACAATTATGTTTTATGTACATTTTATTTCCAAAGCTCTTTTTTAAAATGCCTGGAGGAGAAATACTGAAGCCTTTATTTATGTTATTTTATTGGCCTAAAAGTACTCACATTTAAACCTACTAGGGATGGGTATCGAGTAGCGATACCTTTAAGGTATCGACCAAAACAGACGAATATCAAGTATTATCGAAACGTCTCCAGTCAAACCAGTACTTCATTCGATACTTTTTGCAAACAGATTGCATAAAAAAATTACTATTTGTATGGTTTTGCTTGCAGTCAACCACACAAGCAACACACCGAAAGAAAAAGAAGAGCACGGCTCTTTTTTCTATTGTGTGCCTAACAAACAAAAAAATTTTACTTTAACAACAAAAAAAAATAGCAAGGTATCGAATAAGGTACTAGTTTTGGTAAAATTTTAAACGATACCAACCCTAAAACCTACTGAGTGCTTATTTTACTCTACTGTAACTTCCTGATCATATTCTACAAGCTCACCTGATCAGTATTTCAGTCAGTGCACACGAGGACAGCTAAACATGTCAAACGTGTCTACAGGAAAGCATACATACAAATATGGACAATAAAGTTTCCAATAGTAAATCAATAATGGATACACAATTGAGCTACTTTTTACTAAAATCACTGCCAAAAATACATAATTATTTCAAGGAAACTTCCAAGAAATTACTGAGAAACTACCGACCCATAAAATAAAGTGTTACAGTGATAATATCAAATTTAGTAACTTACCGGCGCGTCCTTCCAGACTGGTGGTTTCAGACTGCAGCCCCCCGCTGACAGTGGTGGCTAGCAGCCTGTAGAGGGCGCCAGGCGTCAAACCAGCCAGCAGCAGAGAAGAAGAACCAACCGTAACGCTGTAGTTCTGAACCACAACGCTGTGGAGGGAAAAGGCAGCTTAGAGTCATGCTGATGTGGAATAATTAACTTTAAACTTTTATTTCTCCCTCTGTTCTGTCGCTCGATTCGTACCAAGTCAACATAAACATCCTCCATGGTGCATCAATTTAAAAACATCTGTATACATAATCTGACAGACGAGCACAGACAGAACAGCTTCTGCTCTCACAGCTATCAAGATGTGTGACCCTATCAAAATAAAACTCTGCGTATTGTGGTTCAACCAGTGGTTCCCGACCTTTTCAGCTCGTGACACAGTTTTAGGTGTGTGTGACTTCACCAAAGAGTGAAATCCTCATGTGGTTTCTCCCATGGTTTAATTTCAATAACTCATTGAGGCCCAAAGAGCTTCGACGTTCAAATATTTCACAATAAAAGTCCGAAAATTTTTAATGAATTTGTGTAGCTGAACCTTTTTTTCTTTCCTGCTCGATAATTAAACTTTATTTTATTAATTTTTTTACACAAAATGATAGTTGCATGATAAAATATTATATAAAGCTAGCAAGGTGCTCCTAAATTACATTTTTCTTTTCCTCCTAAAACATGATTTTCTCTCTAACGTAGGACCTCATTTAGTTTTTGTTCGGCACAAATTCAGCTGCTTTAACATTTCACTTAAGAAGATCTGCGCTCTGATCTTTTAAAATGAGCTAAACAAATAACTAATTTAATGTAAAACAATCATACTCAACTTTCTAGCTCTTTCCGTTGCTTATGAACCCTTAAAGGAGACCTATTAAACTGATTTTCTAGACCTATATTGTAGTTCTGTGACTTCTGTATGGCAGCTTTGTATGATTCAAAGTTCAAAAAAATATTTTCTTTTCTTATACTGGCTCTTCATGTAGGCCTTCATTTCAGCCTCTGTCTGAAACAAGCTATAGATGCTCCTGTCTCTTTAAGGCCCCCCTCTCAAAGCCCACTGTCTTCTGATTGGCCAAGACCTGAAGCATTTTACCAGGCTGTTGTTGTTGCTGGGCAGAACAGGCAGACTGAGCCGTTGCCGTGCCGTTGCTATGGGAGCACATGACCATATATGGAACAGCGGCTCCGTCTGGCTCCGTTGGTAGAAAAAGCAGTTGAGAACAGAGCGTTCAGAACAGGAGGAAATCTGAGGTTTTGGCACACACTGATTTCTTTTAAATACTTTAACCTCATTTTTTGAAGCTTTGGCCGTGTTTAACATGAACATCCAACATTATAACATTGTAGAAAAGTCATAAAATGTGGAAAAGCATGACAGGTCTCCTTTAAGATTCATCTTGTGATCCTCCAGAGGGTGCCAGACCCTTACGCCGGGAACCACTGGGTTAAACATGTGGAGATAAAGTTTTACAAATAAAATATGTGACCAACAGTAAAAACATCAGAGAACCTGACACCTGTTTTGGTTTTTCCGCACAGTGTTAGAGCTGTTTGTTTACATGTGACCGAGCGAGACGTCTTGTGGTCCCTGCTGTGTCCCTGAACGCACCCAGACTCTGGTTTAGAGACACACCTGTCGTGCAGCAGGATCAGTGAGTACGAGTCCACGTCTCCTGGTGGTGTTTCCCATGATACCTGGAGGCTGTTGAATCCAGAGCTTCTCATAGTGATGACACGAAACGCCATGGGAACTGCAACACACACAAACACACTGAGCAGTTAAACATGCATGTGAGGACCTTAAGTCTTTTAAATATATAATGTAATTATTAATTTAACTGTACTACTACACTTGAGGTTCACAACATGATGGTCTTGTTTTCTACATTAAATTAAAAAAGGGTGAGGAAAACTGTTTTATTTTTTATATATTTATCTCGGTATTTTTTTCTTTTTCAAGGCCTAAACATTTGATTTTATTTTAATGGTAAAAGCTTTAACAACTCCACTTTAAATTTTAAATATAAATATATGAAAGACTTCTGGTCCTGAACTTCCCATCCCTGGTCCTAACAGTGCAAATACCTGCTTGTAAACGTGACAGAATGTACTACTACTGTATATTTTATAGTTTATTTTAATGATGGAAAGGAACAACGGTTTATTTAACTCCTCTTGTATCCCCAGTAGAACATTTACAAAGGTCCATTTCTGAAACCTCACAGAGGAGCATTAACAGATATGAACATATAAAACACACCTGTCCTTCCCTCCAAAGACACAGAGGTGTTCAGTTTCCCGCTCCTGGTTGTCACGGTGATGGTGTACCGTCTCCCAGGTGTGAGCACATTGAACGTGCACTCCCTCATGTTTGGCTCCACCTCCCTGGTGTCCACAGTGACGTTACCTGCGAGATACAGGAAGCAAATGAGAAAGCCCGTCTCTCCAACCTTTTCAGTTATTCATCAGAACAGATACAGGTGAGCTGATCTACGGCGTCTTGATGGTTACCGTGGCGAATGGTCAGGAAGTAGCTGTCACGTGACCCGGAGGGGGCGTGGCTCCACATAGCGCTGAGCGAGGTCTCGTCCGAGTGCCGTATGTGGAGGTCCGACACTGGAGCCGGAGCTGCAGGGACAGAAGGACGAGGTTCAGGTCGTCAAACACAAACACAAAACGCTCTGCAGTAATTCTCTTCTGTATTTCTACCGCAGTACTTTCTTTTTGTAGTAATAACTATATATTTTTACACACTCTCAGTTTTGCTGTCATGTATTTCTGAGGTTTTGCTCTGCTTTTTTTGTCACGTGTAGTGCTGTTTTTGTAGTGATATATATTTTTTATGTCATGTACTGACGTATTTTATCTCTTATATCTTTGCAGTTTATGGAGTTATGTTTCTGCAGTAATATGTATTTCACAGTTATGTATTTCTAAAGTGTTGCTAAGTATTTTCTGTCATTTTTTATATACATATACTCCATCTGTTAGCTTTTTAATCATCAATTTCAGTGGCAACGATTAGTTCAAATAATTCTATATCTGTCTTTCAATTTTCTGTAATGTACAGACATATTTTATCTCTTGCTTTCCTGTATTTCTGGAGTTCTGTAGTTATGCTCCTATATTTTCAGGGATATGTTTTCTATGTTTCTGTATTCCAGCAGCAGTACATATTTTCAGTTATATATATTGTATTTCTGAACATATTTTTTTGGTCATACTGTTTACTTAAGTTATGTTTATTATCATTTAACCCATCTTTGACTAAGTAAGACCTGTTTAGATCAGTGATCTCTTTTACAAAGGTGACCTGGCCAAGACAGCAGCATGAAAAAGTTTAAATATGTTAAGTTATGTATTTCTACAATAAAAAATTTCAGTCATACATTTCTGTAGTTCTTTCTGTATTTTGTCAGATGTTTCTAAAGTTTATATATTTTCTTTCTGCCATTATATATTTCCTCTGCTAGTTATATATATTGTCTTCTGTATTTTTGCAGTAATATATATTTCTGCCGTAGTAGTAGTAGTAGACCTGTTTGTCCTTCACAGCTGCTCTCGGCCGTCAGTCCTCCACTCTCCACTCTCAGCACGGCTCTGTACAGCCTCCCAGGCGTTAGACCCGTCCCAGGAAAGTTGAAGTTCACTGCCTTTCGGTCCAAATCGGCGCTGACTAACTCCTGAGAGCCGTCAAACAGGAACAGCCTGTAGCTCTCCCAGCGTCCAGCGGGGGGCGTCCAAGACATGAGGAGACCGCCGGAGGAGGAGAGTGTCAGGGAGAGGAGGGACGCCGCCGCCGGAGCTGAAGACAAGACGAAGACAGGATGAAGAAACAGAAAAGGGAAAAGGGCAAAAAGAGAAAAAGAACACCACCTCACCTGTCCTGACGGTGATTTCTGATTGGTTCGTCAGCTTGCCGCTCCTCGACGTCACTGCGACCCGATAGGCTGAGCCAGGAGTTAACTGATCGATGGTGACCGCCGTGGCGTCCGATGGAAGAGTCGTCTCCCGGCGGCTCGTGCCGTTGGTCAAGAGGGTGACGATGAGCGTGTCCAGGTCGCCGCTGGGCTGTTGCCATGACAACGACAAGCTTGTGCTGCTGCTGTTGTTGTTGTTGTCGTCAGCTCTGAGGTTGGAAACAGCAGCGGGAACTAAAAAGAGATTGAAATGTAAGATTTCTTTCCTTCCATCCTGTCCCCTCTCTCTCTCGCTCTCTCTCTCACGCTACCTGTCTGAGCCTCCATCATCTGGCTGTTCTGCAGCCCGCCAGCCTCCGTCACCATGGTAACGTTGTACAGTCGCCCCGGCGTCAGGTCGAGGAGTTTGTGTTGTGTCGCCGTGCTCTCCAAGGTCTCGTTCCTCAGCAGACCTGCAGACACGGAGGAGAGGAAGAAGTAGTGAGGTGGAACAAAAGGTCACATGACTCTCCAGCAGCTTGTTCATTGGGCAGAAGACCCTGTAATCATAACCTATGTTAGAGGACGAACTCAAACCTTTTACCTAAGTAGAAATATATATAGTTTTTTGGGTGATTTTAATACTTTCAAATAAAACTCTTTATTTTCTAGAACTTCACCTTTTGAAAACGGAGATCGTTAAATTTTTTTTAACTATAACAGAGTATTCATTCTTTTAGCAGCGGAGAGCTTTGATGTTCCACGTCATCATGTTGTACGCTCACAACGACGTCCTCACGTTTCCGGGGTGAAAACGCTTGGTGGCACTAAAGGACTGGCGTTAGACAGTTGTTTGCATGATTCTGTTAAAAAGTGATCCAAAATAATAAATAACTAGAGCATTCGAGCTTTTTGCAGCAGAAAGTTAGGGCTTCATGTTGTACGCTTGTGGCGACGTTATTACGTTATGTTGCGGTGAAAAATCACACGATGGCCACACGAGTAGCGCCAGAGGAGCGGCTAAGCAGGTTGATAGGAATGTCCGAGAGAGATTAAGAGAAATACTAGTAGTTTAGCGTAGTTTAGTATAGAGTTATAGTAGTTGTAGTATATTTAAACACAGTAGGCCTAATTATCAAATATTGTAGTAGAAGTAATAACATGAACTGTGAACATACAGCACTTATTAAACATCTTTGCATCCTGCTCATAAAAATGAGCAAATATAAAATTTTTTTTTACATATTTCAAATAATTTGTGGTATGTTAATAAATATTTTTTCATCTTTCTACCTTTAGGAATCTTTTAGATCAAAATGTTTTATGCGTTTACTTTTATGAGAAAATATTCCAGATTTTGTATTTTCTTTTTAATTTATGACACAATTTCACTTTTTTTATTTACTTTTATAAATTATTATGTTTTTTGACTTACATAAGTTCAAATGGATAGAAATGACATCACAATAAGCTAAAAATAAATTGTTGCAGGGTTACCACCTTGTTAAGGTTATGTGGTATGACCTTTGTGAGGCTTCGGGGTGTCAAATTTTGACGTTCAACTCATTCGCACTGCGAGCTGTGATATTATGTTCTTCTTGTTGGGGATGAAACATGACAGACGTACCCGTGTGATCCCACAGTTGCAGCCTGAAGCGCTGCGTCCTGCCTGGGCCGGCCTGCCAGGAAAGGCCCAGGCTGCTGGAGGTCCTGGAGGTCACCGCCAGGCCGCTCACCGCTGACGGCCCTGAAGAGGCAAACGGACACGGTGAGAAAATCCATCACTGATAATTTTGAGGTACTTTACTGGAGCATCTTCAGTTTCTGCTACTTTATTCTCTTACTTTACACTTCTGAGGAAAATTTTAATTACTAGTTACTTTGCGGACTGATATGAATAATACAAAATATTAACAAATAAATTAGAATACATTATTGCGATTAATTAATTAAGCTGCAACAACAATACAGTGATGAAGAAATGGATGCATGAATAATTGTAATGCAATTATATCATGTATGTTATTCTGAAATGGGTCATTCTGCTTAATGAGTACTTTTAATTTTGTTCTAAGATTTATTTGTGCAGGTCTTTTACATGTAACAGAGTATTTCTACACAGTAGTATTGCTAGTTTTACTTAAGTGTTTAGTACTTTGTCCAGCGCTCAAAAATGACAAGGAATCATCACTTTGATAGACATGTGTTACGTTCTCCGTGTGTAAGAAGACCTTAAACTGCTTAATCTCCAAGTAATGTGCTCCCATTACTAGTGCAACTAATATATAAATATATTATTATATTATGTTCACAATCCCGACATTCAACCTCTCTTTTGGTTGTGATGCCCCCATGAACCCCCCCAACCAGCCCAGTTTCATCTCTGTGTGAGCCTAGCTTAGCGCAAAGACAGGAAAATCTACAAACTGCATCCTAAAGCAGTGGGACTTCAACGTGATTTATCTGTTGTGAGCGTGAGGAAGGTTTCGGCAGGAAGGATCCATCGCCTCAATCTGTGGCCTTGTCATCAAAGTCTGAGCGCTGTGGGAGTCCTGTTGACACACATATACTATAAAAACACTCCCATGCTTCTCTTCAAGCCATCCGCCTGCCTGAGCGCTCCCGGCTTCCTGGTTTGTGTTTTTCCCACAATGCCTCTGTGTGCGCCGAGGTTGAACGATGTTATCAGGCCGCGACATCTCTGCCGCCAAATGCCACAGCGAGACAAACAGAAGTCTCTCCTCTGCAGCCACCTCTCAGTCCGACTGTTGATGTTTCTGTCTCCATCAGCGGCTCCTTCATCACTCGCGGTGTTTTCAGGGAAATGAGCAGAGCTGGAGGAAGTGCTCAGATCCTTGAACTAATACCACACTGTAGGTCCTGCTTTGGAAACTATACTTAACTAAATGTGTGAGAGTATAATCAGGAAAATGTAGTAAAATGTCCCTGTTGTATCTTCATCATTAATGTGTAGCAGGATGTTGCTGCTGTAGTCGTTGAGCTGCAGCTCATTCTGAACTGTTCAGTTTCAGACTGCAGCTGATGATTCTTTTCATTGCTGATTATTTCCTCCATAAAATCGATTGTTTGGTTTGTAAAGATTCTGCAGTCACAGTTAGCCAGAGCCCAAAGTGACTCCTTCACAACGCTCGTTGTGTCAAAACCACAACGTTCTTTTAACAAACATTACAGTTATTACAATCACTCAGAAGAAAAGCAGCAACTGTTCACATGAGAGAAGCTGAAACCATCAGAATAGGGCAGCACAATAAAACAATTATCACAATATAATTTTGGTCAATAACAACAGCATCAAGTGTTTGTTCTGACCAGAAAGAAAAGTTTAACCATCTGGTTTCTTTAACTTCAACAAAAATCAGCCTTTAAACTTCAAAGATTTAATTAATTGATATTTATCCTGATAATTATAGATTTTGAATTTATACAAACTGTTGCGTAGTTTAATGGCTTTGTGTAAAAATCTGTGTAGTCATTACCGTAAAACTTTAATAGCTTTTTCCACCAGTATAAATTTTACTTTAATACCATTTTTTTCATTTTGTATGCAGCAATGTAATGAAAACAAGCGTACCCAACAACACTGAGCAGGAAGCAGAGAAAAGTGCTGCAGAAGTTATCAGTTGGAGAGAAACTTCACAACTTGGATAATTTTTTATGAAAAGCTGTTTTGATTCTTTTGATCGGTGGAGCCTTGCAGACTAAAGGAAGATAAACAATCGAGGAACGGACACATTTGGACTTTACGACCGCTTCAAAAAAAAAAAAAAAAAAAGGTCTACGCCGGTATAATCTGAGTGAATTAGACTTTGGGGCTCGTTCTTTCCATAAAGTGAGCTGAACAATTAAATTGTGGAGAATCTAACCGATTTAACGATGTGTAGCCTGTTTGTACTGACAAGTTTAAACATTTATATTTGTATTCACGATCTAAGCAGCCAAAGCGAGCGACCCGACAGGGTTTAAAGCTGTGTTCACACACAAAGTCAATGCAAACATGCGAATTCATGCAAATTCGCTCCAGGCGGTGCGGAAGACGCGTTTGTTGTGACATTTGCTCAAGTTCAGAAATTTGCTTGACACCATGTTGTGAAAGACCAGGCAGAGCTGGCCGACGCAGAGCTGTTTAAGTCCAGGGAAGTGTAAAAGAAAGAGCCGGGAGCCGCACTGCAGCTTTTGGACAAATAAACATCCGTAGTCGGACTGAATTATGCTCGGACAACTACGCCGTTTACCCGCGGGAGGAGCTCAGTAAACTGCTGTTATTAAATTAGCTTTTTACTTTAGTTTTTGGGATTAACAAAGTTGATTTATCTTCACCGGAGCTTCTCAGCAGCTTCCTTGCACATCCGGTTCCACTGTTGTTGTTAGCCTCGGTTGGCACGCAGAGCTCTGCTGGACTACGATTTCATATTTATATAAAAACCGGACAAAACTGGACATTACTTGGAGAAAAGAAAGCGAGGAGGTTGAACTACCTGGTGAGTTCAGAAAACATGTGTCTGTAACTTTATTCCAGCTGTCGTTGTACTTTACTGTGACTAAGTTAGCATAGCCCTGATCGATCCAAACTCCACTCAGAAAACAAACATTTTAAAAGTTGTTGTCCTGCTTACTTGTTGACAGACCAGAGAAAGCATGAATTCAGATGTCTAACAAATCTGCATCATATTGTAGTTGTTTCGGCATCAGTTTGATCCGTTTATTGCCATTAAATCACAGCAAAATGTTTACTTTAGGTTCATACAGCTGTAATATCCACGGGTTGTGTTTATTCGCATTATCGCCTCGTGTGTGAACACTTCGCAGTTGTCCAGCGATACAACGCACGCGAGGAAAGCGTTGTATGTGAACACACCTTAAGAGGTTTTATACATCCAGAGAACTTTTATAAAAACCAGACCAGGCGTTTAAGACCTGCGTTAATCTGTCAAAATGTGTTCCCACACCAGGCCAGTGAACGGGGTAGGCGGCTGTTTGGGACTCTGCTATTAATTGAAGTTTTACGGTTAACTAAAGCTGTAAGTAAGTGAAAGGTAAGCAGGTAAAAACTGACCTGCAGGGGTCACATGAACACTAAAGGTCACAGTCACAGCGCCTCGAAAGATTAGAAACCACAGAACAAGTGTTTTGCATTGCTGAGAAGGTTACTGTCGGTACTCGACTGGGTGCAGCTACACCCTGTTTCCTCCACACACACACACACACACACACACACCCTTTCCCAATGCTTCCCCCAGAACAAAGAAACAATGGAGGCAGGAAATGGCTGAACTCTGAGCTCTGCCCACGATGGAAATACACACTGAGGGCCCAACTTCTGTTCTGGACGCCCGCCATCACGGAGACACAACACACACACACACTTTTACTGCTCTATCACTCTCTCTCAGCAGGGCCGAGGTTCCTGTGGCTAATCACAGAGCTGCAGAGAGGGAAGCTACATGACATTAACTCAAGACTCTACACAACAAGGAGGTTGTGTTCTTTTACTTCAAACGGCGAGAGGTCAGAGGAGATGGAAACAATAGGACGGAACACAATAGAGTGTTTGTTAAATAACTGTGAACGGGGTGTTTAACTTCTAACACTGCAGGTTGTTACAGGTACAGGTGTGTGCAGCCGTCCCAGCTCAGTGATCAAGTCTATTTTTATACATCAGCAGTGGAAGAAGAATTCAGACCCTTTAAGTGCTAATACAACAGTGTGAAAACACTCACAGGCCTGCAACCAAAACTTACAATATGTAAGTTTTATCACAAACATGTACTTAGTAAGAAAATAAAAGTACTCATGTTGCAGTAAAATGTTTCTCCATTATATCTGATGCTTCTTACTTTTAAAACCAGCTTGTCTGTAAAGCACTTTATACTTAACTAACCTGTACCAAAGATGCCATTCAAATAAAGTTTGACTGAACCCAACAGCATGTAAAAATTGGTAAAATCAGCTTCACCTTGACCGTAAAATACTGCTTTCCTCTGGGAGATGCAAATCTCAGCAAGTAGCCTACAAAATCTTTGCCGAATTATGCGTCCACCTCCTAAGGTCCTTTTCAGACACTTTGCTGTTCACATCGTTTAAACGTGGTTAACGCCACATGTTTTTGCTGCAATTCCAGGAATGGTACTTTTACTAAATGTAATAATATATTAACGATTGTTAACCTTCATAAAAAGAAATACTAATCATTTATCACTACTGATGACCCCCACAAAGAATTGTATAGCGTTTAAAAGCATAACACCTGTAAAAATGGCACAATGAACATTTTCACTTAGGGGTGTACTTACTTTTGTGAGATACTGTCTATTCTCTAGTGATAAGTAATTCATACAACTCCAAAAAATCCAAACTATAGGGAGGTTTTTCAGACGCCTCTGTGGCACTACTAGAGAGAATGATGCTCGCCTGACTCCATCCAAATGTCGCACTCTGTCCTTTGTTTCTCTCCTGGCCAGGTGTGCGATACTGCCTAGATGGAAGGACGCCGCTCCGCCCACCCACACTCTGATGGACGACACGTCCTGTTTAAACCTCGAAACATGCACTCTCCTCTGTCCCTCCATCTATATCACCTTCAGGGAAACGCCTTAGAGCTAGCAGATGTAAAGGTAACCGCTATAAGCTGTCCTTCATCCCAACTTCCATAGTGCTCCTAAATAAACAATCTGCTCGGAACAAGACGGCTTGAAGCACTTCCGGCACTTTATTTATTTATTTTTAAGCATAGTTTAATATTGTTTGATCGCTTGCACTAATGTTTTTTAATCAACCAGATCTTATATGAGTATTTCTTTTTTTAATACAGAATTGTGGCGGTTGTACTTTTATTGTCTGTCATACTGTTTTCTGCTTTATGTGCTCAAGTGCAATTGAATATAATAATTCTGAGGTTTCATTTCACTCAGGTTCTACTCATCTTGTAATCAATGATCGACAGGGGCAGGGTCACGGATACTTGTGTGAATGTAATGTAAATGTATCGTGGATTGTATGATGCAAGTGAGTGTAAAGTCCGGATGTGATACTGGTGTGTTATGTTTCACTTCTTGCTCTTACATCCTGGACCAAAGTGATTTGAAGTAAACTCTGTTAGAGCAGGTTTTGGGGAGGGATAAGGGAACGAGCTGGTACCTTTTCTACATTAAGCAGACACTGCACACGTGACATTTGTTTAAAAAAGTATAAAATAAATATTTGATACTATAAATCCAGGTTTCCATCCACTGATCACCGGTTTCATCTCAACTCTAGCTAAAAAGCTAGAAAGAAACGGGGGTAAAAGTAAGAAGAAATAAATGAGCAGTGTCAGCTGCGTAAAATGTGTAACTTTACAACAATCAACTGCAGGACATCCAACAGACCTTTTCAGTGTGACACAGGTGTAACTAAAAACATTAGTAATGGCTGAATTCCATTTGCTGCTACTGGGAGTGCTGGCTCACTGACTGGAACAGAGCCATCAATAATGTTATTGGTTACACCTGTGCAAAAGGTCTATTGAGATCAGATCAGATTTTAATGTATTAAACATTTGTTCAGAAATCTATTCATAAAAGATGGATATCTGTCAGGATGCACACGGGAGGGGGGCGGGACACTTAAATAAAATGTAACACAGTGGATGATCCAAAGAGGTGCATGTGTTTTTAAATTTTAACTCTCACTCACTTCCTTTCCATCATCTGTTTACAGACTAAATGTACTTTTACCTGGCACAGAAAATAAGACAACATGATCGCATGCAGCGGAATGAGCTTCAAAGTTAATTCTTTTAATTACTTTACACTTTAAGCACAAAAAATGATTAAATACTAATAAAAATGTATTGACTTTTAACTGAGCAAACACCCTCTGTGGAGGACGACTGTGTGACACTGATGAAAGCTCCGGAGCAAGCAAAGAAATGGACTGAGTTTTGTGTAGTATGAGGACTCACTGGTGTGCAGGGTGAGGTTCGCCGTCTCCTCGTCTCTCCGGGACTGAACCAGCAGCTGGTAGGCGGTTCCAGGCTCCAGGTGATCCAGCACGCAGGTGAAAACATCTCCTACCTCCTTGTTCCCTCCATCCTCGACTCCTAGCTGGTTGGTTTCCAGATAGTTAGCTCCCATCTCCACCTCTTTCACCTCCTTCGCTCCTCTGATCTCATTAGTCTGTATCTCCTCGTCTCTTCTTCTACACTCGCCGCTGTCTCCTCCGGCGTCTGGAGACGTTACGGTGAAGGAGCAGTTCTGTCCGGTTGTGTTGACTGTCAGTGATATGGAGTCCAGGCCGGATACTGGTTCAGACACGGAGATGCTACATGGGATGGACTGGCCCTCTGTGGGAGCCGCACGGCTCAGATCCTGACGGGGGAAACAAGACGCAAAGATTTCCATCTTTCAGCTCTTTCAGGTCACTTTAGATTCATGTTAGTTCGAATTTGTTCCATTTCTGAGCAGTGAGTTTATTAAAAAGTCACCGCCTTCTGCTAATTAGCTAATTGCCAGCTTGATAAGATCGGGCCCGCCCCAGTACATTTAAGTCACAGAGCTGAGCATCCGTTTACAAAAGTTTAATTAATCCAGAATCCTAAAAGATGTAGAAAAGTATTCCATCCACTGCACAAAAAAAAAGGTTTTTAACCCGTTTCTCAAGTTGTGACTGTATTCCCTATTAAGGTATATGGACATGATCTCCTTGCTTGTTTTGTATAAAACAAGTCAAATATAAATGCAAAAACATAAATTTATAGTTAGTGAATTGAACATAGATACATATAACTGACAATAAAACTCTGAATTAATGATCTGAGTACTTTCTAGTTAACTGGACAGGAATAACTTGGCAAACATGTTGAAATCTTATTTATGGTGCAGAAGATTAAATATCTTTTCATCCATTTAGTCTTTGAGGATCTTGGTGCTTCGCTCTTAGATTCAAATGTTATGATAATCCATGGGGCTAGGGTCATGTGTGAAGACTGAGATGGAAGTTGGAGATGTGGGTTATGCAGGAGTGGTTTGAGAGGTTTCTATAGATATTTTGCTGCTCTCCATGAAGTAGGAAACAACTAGCCTTTATAGCCAGAAGTGTTTTATAGTGTGTAGTAGTATTTCTTTGATCCTATTGTTCTGATAATATTTCACTCACTACTGAGATCTGAACCAGGCTGACTTTAACTGTTAATATATGGCAGACAAACAGCAACAACACAGTAAAACCTGTGCTCACCAACCACCATAGCCCGAGACACTGCTGAGAAGTTCTGGGCGGATGGATACGTTATGCTAAGCTAGGCTAACTATGTCCTGACTGCCAGCTCTGTGACTCAGAAAGAAAAGTGTTTGTCCCAAAATGTTAAATTATTTCTTTAAAATGTCCAGTAGATCACCAGTCAGACTTTACAGATCTTTGTGTTTGTTTGTTTTTCTTATTACAAAGGGACTCTGGCTGATGAGTTGATATTCAGCAGCTCCTTTTCCCTCCATTAGTGTAAGCATATTTTGATCCGTGCTCACTAGAGGAGCTGTAAACTGTTTCGTCTGGAAACACTACAAATGTTCAATGTTGGGGAACACAGAACTCAAATTATTTTAATCTACTACAATAAAATCTTCATATTGTTCAGTTAAAATTATGTTAAATCAAAAACAATGGAGCTTTCGTGTTGCTGCCAAGACGCTGTCAAATGGACAGTTGTAATTAATCGGCTTTAGCTATTTAAAGTGTAAACTGTAACTGCACGTGTTTTTATCACTTTTGGGTTCAACCTCGAGTTCAACCAGTAATATTTTAAACCGGAAAGCAGTACAGTAAATTAAATAATTTGTTTCTGATAATGAGGTTCAGCGAGTTCAGAGACAAACGGTACCGCAGGGAAGACAGAGACATACGGGAAGACCGGGAAATGACGACTGAGGAAAATTGAAAAAAGAAACTGATATTTTTGGGAAGTCGTGTCCAGGTATCTTGTGTTCTCTTCTGTGTTGCAGTTAGTGCACATTGAGCTTGTGTGAGCTCTTGTTCTTGTAGGTTGGTGTTCAATTAGCTCTTGGTAGCTTCTGACCTTGGAGCATAAGCAGGGTTGTTTGGGCTGCAGCTTGATGTTGATTCTCAGTTGGATTGGCAGTCCTATTACTTTATTTATTCATCTAGCTTTTATCCAAAGCGACTTACAATTGCTATATATATCAGAGGTCGCACGCCTCTGGACTACAACTAGGGGTTAGTAAGTATCTTGCTCAGGGACACAGTGGTGGATGTGTCGCAGTGGGGACTCACACCAAAGGCATGTGTCTTATCCACTGCTCCATCACCACCCCTGCCATCACTTGTTTCAAAATGCCTCGCTCGTTCACTTCTAGCAGAGGACACCATTTCCCCATATGTCTGCCTCTGTGCAATCAGCTATCCAATAAAAGCAAATATTTTCCCAAAAAATGTTGTAACAAGGATTTTTGAGACAACCTTTTCACCCTTTGTTAAAAAAAGAGAAGATCATGGCTGAAAATATGGCAGTAAAACAAACCATGACTAGAATGACACACAAGAAAAGACAGTGGAGAAAATCCCTGATGACTTACAGATTACTACCCTGTTCCCATATGTACTGCTTCACAAGAGAAAAACTTTTAAGCCCTGAAAGTAAGGATAGGATTACCTTTCAAATACTCACGCATGCTGTATCATATCTTCAGCACAGTGGTAGCAAAGCTGCTCTCAAGTTCATATATCACATTTTTCATTCTTATTAGATGCTGTTAGAAGGACTAATTTCTTGATTTAATGAGAAAAGAGACAAATATTTATTTTCCGTTTGTTTTTCAGTTTCACCTGAATTCCTAGGCATGAAAATATAGTATTGCTTCCATATTGTCCATATTATATGGTAAAACTGCATGAGAATGTGAATTAATATTTAACTTTAGTAGTAAAATGATGAACTGGTTGAATCATTTAAGCCGTGGCTTTGTTTAGATAGATATACTTTTCTGGGTATAATGAAAAAAATGCAAGAAACATTTTTATATACTGAAGTCAGTTCTTCATTGTCAAAAAAAAAAAAAATTGAAAAATTGCCTTTTATTTTTGATATGAAGCTCAACTAAAGTAAAAAGTGTCTGTTTCAATCTTATAAGCACTTAACATATTTTTTCACTATTTGTTGCACAAAACTTGACATTATAAGCTTGATATTGCATTTGAAACTCCTTTGTCAGTTGATTTCCTACATAGATCATAAAAGGTATGAAGTAAAGAAATGTGAGCAGACTCACCCGGAGCAGCAGCAGCAGCGCCGTGAACCACAGGCGGCATAGATAGCTGTGAACTTTACATTTCAGCATTTTGATCGTCCTTCAAATCCTGAGACACACCACGCACCACCATACTCCTGAGGCTGAGGTAAAAGATGTATGTTTATATTCACTTAATAATGATGAAAATATCCCTCTTTTGTCTTTGAGGTCTTCAGCGGAGAACGAGTCCTTCTGCAATACAAAACAGCTGGAAAACAACTAGCTAAATGTCCTTTTTCTCTCTTAGAAAAACAAAATACCTCAATTTGACGAAAAACATTAATTAGGTCGTTTGTCCTAGAAATTTCATCTCTTTTGTCCGTTGGCTCTTCTCTGCCTCGTGTCCATCCTCAACTCAGACTTCAGACACAGTCTTTCCTCTCTTTTCTCTGGACTCCCCGTCTCACCAGCTGTCTGTCTTTCTTCCTGTCTGTCTGTCGGTCAGACTCTATAGTGTAGAGGTCGGGAGTCACTAACAGGCTTCCTCAATCAAGCCAACAGCTCTGTGAGTCACTGCAAAGGCACGTCTACAAACCCTGCCTGGATGGAGGATATAAATAGGCCTGTAACCACAATGGCAGCACACCTAGCTGCACTAACAGCAGAGGTAGATGTTATAAATAGAGACGAGTGTTTGATTAATTCCCACTGAGACCAAAGTTTGCTCCATCTCTTTCTTTCATGACAGCATTTTGTGTGTATTCATCTGAGTGGGTGTAAATTTAGTTTCCCACATTAAATCCGTCATTTTGTTTCGGATTTGCAGTTATGGTTCTGGAGCAGCTGATAATTAATAAACGTTGGTAATTAGCAGTGCACCTGCTTGAAACTTTATAGCAGTATAACAGTATGTATATTTATATTATTATCGAACCAAATGACTCTGATGTGAAACTGGTGCTAGTACTGTCAATCCAACTGAGAATCAACACCAAAATGCAGCCGTTCAACAACTTTAGCCACTTCTAACTTCATAGTTTGGGTTTCTGTACCTACACGCGTAGACTCCAAGGGCAGAATCTGACAGCTAACTGTACGCTACCTTACAAGAACAAGGGCTAACACACGCTAGCTATACGCTACTAGGACTAAGCTTAAGTAGTTGTTGGTTAACACATAGTTCCTTACTGCTTCGCCTAAAATTAATCTTTTTATTTAAATTTTGTTATTTATTATTAGGAAATTGTTTGAAAATTATGGAGCTATAAAACAAAAAAAGGTTCCTATTATGTGGTGCATGTTTATTTTAAGAACGGTTGTTCTAAGTTAGCAGTTTGTTTGTTCTATCAGCATTTTATATCATTCCATGAGTTAAATATCTTATTATGTTAACAAGATGAGAAGCCTTCCATTGATCACTCAGTAATTAACATTTCTTAAGTTAACTTTGGCTTCATTGGTGCATAAATACATTTTAAGACTTATTCTGACAAGGTGGTAATTTCATTTTTTTAAGATATCAAATTAGGCCTACAGTTAATGTTTATCTTAAGAATCAGTTCGTCTATTATCTTTATAATTGTTTTTTTTTAATTAGTCTATAATAAATGACCATCTTAATTTCCCCAAAACAATCTAAAAATCCCAAGCCGAAATTTTAATTACATTTTCATGTCAAATACAATGATAAAAAACACAGAAAAACATCAAAATCATTAATTTCGTCTCGATTTGTTTCATCATTACTGTATATAAAAGTATTAGTTTGTAATTTAAACTTATTTATCTCTTTGTTTCCTGCTGCTGGTTTTGGTTTCCAATCATGAGAGGAGCTCAGTACTAATACAGCTGATTTACAGATTTAAGAATCAAGTTTTACAATAACACTAACACTTCCTCAAGTCTTAGAAGACAGAAGCCCAGAGCAGTCGTTGTTATTTCTAATTAAACACTTCAGTTGAAATTACAACGCTATTTATCTAAGAAATGTTCAAGATAAACTTTCTTTGGTGATACTGCTCATCAGACAGACAATCAAACCCCACATTCAAAACATGTTTTGTTAAAAATGTAAATACGTTAAATTAATCGTGCACATTCTTATTTTGTGTTTGGAGATAAAGTTAATTTCTCATCGCCATAATAAGTCTTGCATTGGTACATCTGTTGCCTCACAATTCACATAGTTTACATTTGAGTTGATTATGCAGCATTACAAGTTAAAATACCAAATGCTTTGTTTCAGTTGGCTGGAGCTACTTTTAGTCATCCACACCTCTTTCCTTCCTTCCTGCTCCCTTCCCCTCTCTCTTTGTCTCACTCTCTCTTGTTAAATGACAGCATGTTTCTAGGAACACCAGTTTAAGATCCATACACACCAAACTGTAACTGTGTCTTTACAGGTCTCCCTAATAAAATTTCAAATCAGACAGCTGCAGCTTATTCAGGACGCTGTTGCTGCTGCTCGAGACCTCACTAAGACCAACAAAGTGGATCGCATCACTCCAGTTCTGAGGTCTTTACACTGGCTTCTTGTCTGTCGAGTAACTGATTTTACAATACAGCTGTTGGTTAGTTCTGAACTTCTGTTATGTTATAAACCATCCAGACTCTCTGCTTTCTGTCCCCACAGTCAAATCTAACCCAGGAGAAGCAGTGTTTAGTTTTTATGCTTCATTTATCTGGAAGAAACTCCCAGAAAACTGCAGATCTGTTAACTGTTTTTTTTAACATAAAAATGTATTTTAAGCCTTCTGATTGGTATCTTACACTGCTCTATAACTTTTACTGCCGCGTTTTACCTTTTTTTTTTTGTTACTCGTTTTTTATTTTATTTAAATGTCTTTTTATTGCACCATGTTGCTTTTATGTAAATCACTTTGAATTTCCTTGTTGAACTGTGCTATACAAATAAACTTGCCTTGCCCTCCATGAAGTAACTTCACTGTCAAGAATCTGAACAAATCTTCAAAATAATCCACAAACATCCATAAAAGTGAACATGACCTGTTAAGTCATCCTGTGCTCGATCCTGGATCCCAGCTGAGGATCAAAGCTCTGGGTCGGCTGAACTGTGTTTACCCATCTAACAAACAGGAAACATTTTTCTTCCCTAGTCCTAACTTCAGTCTGAAGCAGTGTCACCAGTTTGCGATATTCAAATGGCAAGTCACACAAATGCACGGTACAATGTTCAATCAATAATATCCACAAATTTACAATAACTTCAAAATGTCATAACAACATAGTATGTGGTAAACTGATCCTGGATCTACGATAGCCAGTGCTGCCACTCACAACCTGTTTTTTCATACAGCATCTATCTGCAATCTGTAAGCTCTGGTAAACTTTCAAAACCTGAAAGTTCCAGTTTTTTCTAAATCAAATCATACAATAACTCAATAAGTACAGTTCTTTGTTTTTTGCACCCGGCAACATTGGTCTGAAGGTTATCAGTCAGTCAGAGTCCAGGACAACATTAATTGTTTATCCAGTGTTTATATACAGATTACAGGTAACAATATATATGTATATATAGTAGAGTAGATAAAGAGGTTACAGCACTACTCAGTGGCTAATGTTCCCGACTATTACAACATTCAATTTGATTAGTAATACAGTTAAAAACCACGTACCGTACGTACACTTATTAGCATTAGGTGTACGCTGACCGAGCTGAATTGCCCACACAGCAGGAGTTTAAAGGGACACTAACATTTTTATTTTATTTTAATGTGGCTCTACATGGAATCTGTCCTAAAAATTCTTGTTCATATTGTTGCCGTGCTGAAATTCACACTAATTATTAGAACTGATGTGTGTTCAGATCAAGATTGTTGAATTTTAAGATATTGTTAGCATTGACATAAATGTGCTTGCTAAATGAATCTGCTCGCTAGTCAGTGAGCTAATGGTTATATTTATTGAAGGTTTACTGCCATATTTTGTTTATTTTTTAAGTTTGAAATAAAGTTCTAGTTTTTCAACCCTAACGAGTACTAACTTAGACACAAGCCGTCACCCCTCCCTTTCAGATCAGGACCTTCTGTCACATTTGACTCCTCCTACAGCACATGCATGTACAGCAGGTCAATCTAATTAAAATATTTTTTTATGTATTCATCATTATGTGCAGGAGAAATAAACATGCAACAAAAAAGCTTTTTTTAAATGATTGTACCACCACCTGGTTTTGTAACAAACAGCTATCATTAGCAAGCTAACTTAAATCAGCTGATTGTCTTCGTAGTTAACTAGCAGAAGAAAAATGTGGTGTGGAGGATTAGTTTGAAAATAAACCTCTGGTTTGCACTAGAACTTTTACACAAGCTGAAAATGGTCATTTCATCAGCTATTATTAGCAAAAGAACTTTATTAGCCAAAGTTGGTCATTTCATTAGCTAATCCAAAGAAGGTTAAAGTCGACAGCAACTGGACTTGGGTGAGGGACGAAGTATTTGGTGAGGGCCAAAGTTGGTCCTTGTACTAGTTAATGTTAGCAGAAGGACAATTTATTTACATGAGCTTTTTTTCCCCTCACTTGTTATAGTAGTAGTAAACTAACCAACTATCGTTTGCATGATCTTAAATTGGCAGTTTAACTAGCTAATGTTGTTATGAATTGCTCTGCTCTTATTGACATGGGTAAACAGCTTTTTCAATTCTCCAGGGCATTTTATTTTAATAAATATTTACAAATTTCAGTTTATTGGTTTAGGCTGTGTTTTAAAATCGAGTAAAGTGCAACTTAACTGTGACATTACATTTAAATTTTATTCATTTAGCTGACGTTTTTATCCAAAACGACTTACATTTTAACAACTAGGGGTAATGTGTCTTGCTCAGGGACACATTGGTGGACGTGTCACAGTGGGGAATTGAACCAGGGTCTCAGTGTTTGTTCAGTGTATTTGTTCGGAAATAAGGTCCCATTGGGCGAAAGTGAAGCGAGAGACTTAGGCTCTCTATTAAACCCACAAAAAATGTAAGTATTTATTACTCTATATATGTTGAATTGTATAATTGTCTGCCTGTTGAAGAATTCTCTAATTACAACTAATTAACAACTGATTGGTTATTATTAATTCAAGTGTACTGTGTCCAATTCCCTATTTTTAGTTGCACATTTCCGAATCCTTTCCAGGAAACATCCTATGATGCATTTCATTTCTCTATTTAAAATTTGCGAAAACTATGTGAGCTCTAAAATAAAGCCTTACACACAATGTTAAACTCCGACATTGGTAACCAATGAATGCATATAAAGAATATTTTGTTCTCTACAACAGCATGACAACTGTCTAAAACTGAAAATGTGTAGTGTCCCTTTAAGCTCCATCAACAGTCAACAACAACAGAGTACAGGACATGAACCACCACCTACTGTACATACACAATACTACGTCAGAGGCAGTGTGTGTTGTTGCACCCGCTGCTGCAGTGGGTGTGGAGGTTGGGATCAATTCACTTTCTGTAGTGAAAGTGAATTGATCCCATCATCAGTTCAAACAGAGAGTTACGTCAATATCACAATGTAATATTTCAGATTTTTAACCACTTTGGAGTTTGAAGTCAATCCAATTCTTGAACTGGCCGAAGTCAAAATTGTTTTGACGGTGGTCCCACGAGGCATGTTGGGCACGAAGAGACGCAGGTCCAAAGTCCCTTGATTGTATAACAAATAAAAGGAATAAATAAAAAAATATTTGGTACATAAAAAGAAAGAGTCCTCCAAGATTCTCTCGTTTATTGTCCGTCAGCGGTCCGGTCCCAACGCTCCCAGTTTTAGCAGCAACACCTCCATGTTTGTAGCCCATGGATTGAAACTCGACTTCTTACATTAGGTTTAATAGCACTTTAACATGTACCACACAACATTATCCCATTCACACAGACAGTGGATTAGATGTATTTGTTTATGTTCTTCGTTACTGGCATTACTGTAGAAACCCCAGATCTCTAAAACAAATCAACACCTCAGGAACTAATAAAACCACCTCAGTATTTATTTCATTTCTTAGCCTTTTATGGTTAAACATGTAGTAATATTGGGCGTATAAAAACTGAGCATCACACCCTTTTCTTGACTTTATTTTTCCAATGTAATGGCACTCGAATGGTTTGGTTGAGTTGTGTAGTCTCATTACTATTTTGACATTTTTCAATGCAGTGTCAATGTAATTATAAAACTTATCTAAAGAAATACAAAATCAATCCGTATTGTTCACAACAACTTTATCTCTCAGTATTTCATGTTTATTCTTCTACTGCTTAAAACGTATTCCTCCATCATTAAGATAGTAAAGCTTAAACAACGGGTGTGGCTTGTTCAAAATTCGATTTGCTGATTCGGATAAAATTTGTATTGTTTTTTTTCATCTGCTTCTGTTAAATTCAAGATTTAGAGATTTGAGGTTCGTACCTCACATCGTGAGCTTTCATGCGAGGTGACAAATGGATAATAGCTGCTAAACTCATCAAAAACATGTAAAAAAAAAACAGTATAAAAATAAAGGTATTATTTTGATACACTAAAAATAACGCACTTACTAGATTTACAACAGCACACTGATGAGATGACTGCACCATTGTGACAATTATTTCACATTTTTGGTATAAAGCAACATATTACACAACATGGGAATTGTCAATTCAATAAACAGGGTTAACTACTATAAAGAGTTTAAGTGTAAATCTGTCGTGTGATGAATAAGTCTCAGCAAACTATGTTTTTCAATTTGGCCCTGTGCTGAAAAACTAAACTTTGGCTAAAATGTCAGTTTTCATTTTAATTGTGGATCAAATCTATAAATTATGCCATTTTTAAATGTTTTGTACATTTTATTCCTTGGGTCTTTCTAAATGTTTTAACATGATGGTGGGGTGTTGTGTCCATATATTCTAGGATAACTAGGTCTCTATTGCTACCATCAATTTATCTATTTATCTATTTTAGATAAAACAACAATTAGTAGGTCAGCATTTGTAAACAGCTCCCATAATTCTTACTCAGTCAAAACCTCGGCGAAGCTGAATTTGTGAAATAGTATTACAAATTGTTATAATATTTTACGAGCATGGTTTAGCTGCGGAATATAAGATTAATTGGTTTAACAAAATATTGCATAAGCATAGCGGGCTAATAATAGCATGAGCTTATAGGTTAGCATCCATTAATGACGTTAAAGCATACGGATTAACACCGAACTACAAAAGCTAGAATTAGCCTCTATGAGATTGCTGTACTACTAGTGCTAGCTTAGCAGGAGCTTATTTATCATTACATTGGTTTGTTAGCCTTTAGCGTGTGATCTATGGCTGGAGTTAGCCCCGTTTGTGACTTCAGCACTCTGTAAGTTTCAAAGCTGCAAAACATACGTCCAGTGGAAATGCGCAGAGCAGTGACGACAGGGAAAATAAAGATTATAAAGTTGGTTTAATCATTCGCATCACAAAAGTTGTACTTTTATTAGTCTTGGTTACAAATGAAATGGGTTTTAAGATAATGTCAGTTAGTTAGCTTGCTAACCATAGCATTGACTCACCTACTCAACACTGTCTGGTTAAACAGAAAGTAACGTTAACATAAAAACATAAAAAAATAAATGTGTTTGCTAAATGTTTCTGCTGGCTAGTTGTCAAGCTAACTTTTCAGGTTACTTGAGCTGAAGGTTTTCTGACATATGACATTTAAAATTAAGTTCTAACAATTAAGAGATGATGATGAAATAACTTTGATGATACAACCCGCCTCAGGATAAAAGGTCCAAATTAATGTTCGACTTCCCCAAAAAGTTTGAAGGTGGGTAATGTAACGTGGCAGAATCACGGAGTATCGTACGGAGTGTGGATGTCACAAAGGGAGGCTGGAAGGGTTTGTTCAACAGTTGTATCGTAGCTTAACAGAAAATGCAACCTGCTAACAGTCAATTTGTGATTGCCTTTCTTATAAGAACCCCACATTAAAAAATAATTTTTAAATCTAAAAAGACACAAACAAAACAGTGTTATGAAACAAAGTACCATCAATTTCAGTCAAACTATTTCTACGTCTCCTTGACAGAAAAGAGGTAACAGGACAATCTGGTTAGTTAAAAACGTCTCGATCCGGCAGTCAGTTGGTTGAGAGAAGTGAAGTGGGCGGGTCTTTCCAGTTCTTCTGGAGAACCCCCCACCAACAACACATGAAGAAACAGCAGAGAAGAACGGATATATTTCATTTCCAGAAATGTACCTTTCCTCTTTCCTTCAATAGGCTCCACCCACAACTCATTGGTTGTCCATGTTGTCCATTAAACTTAAAAAGACCTCTTCCAGTTGTTTCTAATCTCAAGAGAACTTCCAAATCTCAGGGATCATACCTGCTAAAGGACTCACTATGACAACACATCCAGGTTTAGGTCGACACCTCCTGTGGCGGCGCACACTCATTGGCCTGTTTCTGCAGATAGGCGGGTCTCGTACAGGCTCAAGGCGTGATGGACGAACTCGTACTGCTCACCTGTCTGGATCATCCCTCCTCTGCACAGACAAAAAGAGAGATTATAAGTTATAGTGTTTAAAGAAAATAAACCAACACTATAGTAAACATACTGATGGAGCTGAAATGTGGGGTTTTTTTTGTTTTTTAATTTATATTTTATATCTTGATAATGGAAATTCAGGAAACTTAGCCTTTTACGTTAAGTTGTTGAAAATGTTTATAGCAAAATTAACCATTTGTTTTAAGATTTAAGGATGGTTTCACAAGGTGAGTTTTAGAGGTAGCACAACACAACAAAGTCATCACGACAAGGTGCAAACACAAAATGGCTCTAAACAGCAAGAAACTAAGCAAAAATGCTTCCACACAAGTTAAAACTTGAGCAAAACAACGGGAGCGTAAACAAAAATGGGAAGAAAAAGAAGACAAACTGAGGGAAATGACCAAAAGAACTGGATTTACTGGTGAGTCTGAGCGGTAAAATAAAAAGACACAGATGACTACATTGTTAGCTAGCAGCTACAGCAGCAACATCTGTACAGCTAGTACACACACATTCAGTCAGAACACACCAAAAAGGTCTAAAACACACTACATAATATTTTTTATTATATGTAAATGGTTACTATGTTGGGTAAATTCTTGCTGTGGATTGGCTGGGACTCCAGTGTTTCCCCACACTTACTTAGGCGTGTCGCCCAGCTATATTAACAGCCGTGACTGTGTGGGAAACACTGCAATCATTAGGTTATCATTAGGTCCCAGGGACTGACGTCGATGTTCCAGCCCGACAATAAATGTTCATGTATTTCTCCGTGGTTTTCTGAATGAAAGTGAAGCTAAAATCATTCACGGTCACTCCGCAGAAAAGGTGGGCTCTGTCTTTTTCCTTCCCAGTCGGTAAAAATGGAAGGAAAAAGAGTGTTTTACCTGTCAGCTCTGAGCCGGCAGGTGATGCTCAGAACATCCACCACTCCCTCCAACTGCAGCTGTCGACAGCCTATCGTTGTAGCAATGAAGCATCCTGTCCGGCCAATCCCGGCGCTGCAAGCAGAGGAACGTGGGTAACTGAGTTATTTCAAAACATTTGTCAGGAGTAATAGAAGGGCCCTTTTCACATTTCCCCCTCTTTAGACCTGCAATGGACGATAACGGGTCCCATGGCGGCAGCCGTCCGTCTGTCCGTCTCAACGTCGGTCATGAGCTGCAGTAGCGGCATCGCCGAGTCGGGGGTTTTGTGGTCGGGCCATGATGTGTACCAGTAATGCTGCAGCATGCGGGTTTGATTCCCACACTGCACACAAAAAAATGTGAATCCCACAAAGGCATTTATTTACTTATCACAACACAGAAGTAATAACTAAGTTTGAAAAGTTTGCGTACCTTTAATGTAAGGCTGCGAGCGGTGTAATGTTCACACTCTCTGACGCTGTTGACCAACACTTCGACCTTCCCATAGATTCCCCTCTTTTCAGGCCAATACAGAACACACTTCTACAGAGAAATGCAAAGACAGTGGAAACATATTTCATACACTGCTGGTACTTTCCATTCCTGCTGAGTACTTTCCAAATCATCCCATCAGTTTTTAGACTGATTTCCTAGTTTACAAGCAGCTACTGGTTTCATTTTTTTTTTTTTTTTTTTTTTTTTGGAAAAACAACTTTTGTAGAGATTTGATTTGATTTACATTATTGCAATGTTTTCCTCAAGCACCGTACTTAAAATAAGAACCTCTACATTGTACTTGAACATTTCAGAACGAAAAATTGTACTTTTTACTCCACTAAATTTATTTGATAACTTTATAGATAGATAGATTCAGATTGTTTATGCAAAATATTATCTAATAAAATATAATGTACTATTTTACTATAGATTAAGATACCCACTAGTGGTTAAAATTAGCTCCACATTTAGCAGCTACATCAATAATTATTATGCTGTAAATTTATATATGATTCTGCAATGGGCAGACTTTTGGTACACGTTGATGATCATGCTTTTGTACTTTTACTTGAAGGAGACCTATTATACTGCTTTTCCAGGCCTATATTGTAGTTCTGTGACTACTGTATGGCAGATTTGCATGATTCAAAGTTATAAAAAACATTTTTTTTTTCATATAGGCCTTCATTTCAGCCTCAGTCTGAAACAAGCTGTAGATGCTCCTGTCTCTTTAAGAGCCCCCCCTCTCAAAGCCCACTGTCTTCTGATTGGCCAAGACCTGAAGCATGTTACCAGGCTGTTGTTGTCGCTGGGCGGAACAGGCAGACTGAGTGTTGCTGGGCCGTTGCTATGGGAGCAAATGACCATATATGGAACAGCGGCTCCGTCTGGCTCCAAATGTCTTAGAACGGAGCAGTTTGTAGAAAAAGCAGTTCAAAACAGAGCGATCAGAACAGGAGGAAATCTGAGGTTTCTGCTCACAGCGATTTCTTTTAAATACTTTTACATACATTTTTTGAAGCTTTGGCCGTGTTTAACATGCTACATTATAACATTGTAGATAAGTCATAAAATGTGGAAAAGCATTAGAGGTCTCCTTTAAGTAAAATTTTGAATGGAGGACTTTTACTTGTAACAGAGGATTTTTATACTGTAGTTGTGTTTTTTTTTACTTACGTAAAATATCCAAATTATTCCTCTGCCTCTAACACTGGCAGATAGAGTAGGCACCAACTTATTAAAAAATATTTCTCTGTTGGTCACGGACGCTCACACATCTGTAGTTTTAGAACAGCAGCGTCTTCACGACAACAAACAACCAAACTCACTTAATCCGTTACCGCTTGTATTCTGGGTTCAGCTTTACTACAATATAAAAAAGCTTTCCAACAACTAAATGTTAGAGCTTTCTTAAGAACAGTCCCAGGTCACATGTAGAATTGAACTTTGCCCTCCACATCCACCTCTCTTCCGCTTCTTTTACTGTACTTTAGCTTAACTCCCCCCTCCTCGTCTAACGATACCTCATTCTTCTCCTTCAGTTTGGTGATCATGACGATGACGGGGGACTCCTCCTGCCAGGCCATCTGCCAGAAGTCGTTCACCGTGTTCACCATGGGACCCTGGGTGGCGATGAACGCCTTCTCGTCGCCTAGGTAACCCTGGGAGGGGAGCCAATCACACAACAGCGTCAGCAGCTTGCTGTGAGGAAGTAACGGCACTGTTGACACGAGCTCTGAAAGACTTCTTAATGTGAAGAATTCAAGAAATTCATGACGGCACCTTTTGTCACTTTTGTCTGACAGTAGGAAAACTAAAATACCTTAATCAGTATTTTTACATTTATTTAAATTGACTGTTCTTCTCGAGGTGAATGTATGAAGTGTCCTGTAGATGCACAGAAAACTTCAAAGTAAGGTGGTATTATTTCTTTGTGGTGTTTGAGTGATGCAAGCAGTCAACAGAGTTTGTGAATATTACTCAAAACGTTGAATATCATTTGGACTTGATCCATTATAGCACCAGAGGAAAACTTTTACTTCTTAAGGACAATTTACACTTCTGTGTCGACTCTACGCCTTAAGGCCAATTTATACTCCTGCGTAGGGCCTACGTGCGTACCTACGCCGTAGGCTACGCACGTAGCGCTGCAGCGTCCACCGTGTTGACTTTTGCCGGCCGAGCAGGCTAATTTCCGGTTAAGTGCTCCGCTAACGTAAATGGGAGTAAAATTGTAAACGTGCGGCTGGTGTAGCCTTTTAAAATGTTGTCGACCGAGTGGATCACATTCTCATTTTGCTCGGGTTGCAACGTCCAGTATTGTTTCACTGTGTCACAGCCGCTGTTTTGGCCGCTATCAAACGTTACTTCAAAGCACGGGGTACTTCCGGTCGAGATGGCAGCATTGCGAGGCTACCCAGCCGACCAATCACAGAGCTTACGGTCCGCGTCAACTTGACGTGTAGTTACATTTTTGAGGAGGTGCATGTCAGGCGATGGCGTAGCCTCTGCGTAGCCTGTAGGCTACGCCGTCACCTACGCCGTCGATTCGACGCAGAAGTATAAATTACGCTATACCTGACGGCGTAGACTACGTGCCGTCATGAGCATTTATACTTTTGCGTTGGTGTCTGCATCGTCCTGCAGTTACACCTCCACAACACAAGTTGGCGGTGGGGTTCCAATGTTCCGCTGTGTTCACTTTCTTCTTCGTTCGTGTAGGCTACTACAAACAACGGCGACTGAAACTGAGCGGATCGTTGGAGCTTATCGATGCTGAACAGCAGTTACTTTTAGTGAAATTACTAAAACGCAGAAACAAGATAAAGTGTCGGAGGAGACGGTACGTACGACCCCTGAACTGGTTAGGGCAGAAGAAGGAGGACAAGCCAGATATTATGTGTGTTCGAGATGACTGCGGCGGACTTTCGCCGACTCTAACATGAGCTGCAAGTGACTGCAGGGGCGGAGTATAAAAACAGCCCCATCAAGTCGGACACAAGACTGCGCGAGCTTCTTGTGAGTTTAGAACAATGACTGATCCTGCGACATCAGCATATCAATCAAAAGGTGGTTCCGACTTTATGCAGCCAGAGAAACGCAATGCGGGTGTCGGACTCGGTGACTGCACAAGTCAAACAAACATAACGCATAGGAGGAAATGCGATGTTACCAAGTGGACCAATCACAGGTCTTGAAGTCTGCATTGCTGCGACATATATTTACATTTTTTTGGAAAGTGCGCGTCAGGCTGCGGCCTAGATTTGATGCAGAAAAATAAATTGGCCTTTATATTCTGCTTTTTTTATTAAAAACACATTTTTGTGACACAAATATTTAAAAATACACATTTGGCATTAAATATGCTGATTTCATTTCTTGGTCAGTCATATTGTCTAAATATTAATTCATAATTGTATTAATATAGCACCTTTTGAAACAAAGTTATAGTGCTTCAGTCAAAACGTTTTAGGTGAAATAAAAGAGTTTTGATCAAAGTGATGCTTCTTCCTGTCGTGTGATAAATGTGCTTTGGACACACACTGCGTGGTATGTCCAGTAGGATAAAGAATCTGAACACAGCTTCTGTTCTCATGCGGTCTGACAGTTTAAATAGCTTCAGTGGAGTTTCCTGACAGGAAGAGAGTCTATTGTATAGAGTCTGAGAACAACATTACAGACTTCTGCAGTTTTTTGCAGTACTTTCACTGCCTTTGTGTGTGTCAATGAAACCAAAAGACATTACACATCAGTGATGTGATCATGTCAGTGTTGGATGATTGTTCTCAGGTTTAGAGAAGATTTAACAAATAAATGTTGTAAAAACTTGCCATGAGTCCTTTAACAAGTGTATAATTTGATCTCCTTTGAGCAGCCACAAAAGCTACAGAGCCAAAAATAGGAGGCGATTCTGGACTACTGCTGCTACCCACCCGTATGTAGTTAGCATTGATGTAGGAGCTCAGCAGGTCGTTGCAGCTCTTCGACTTCAGGATCACTCTGGAATGAGGGTCTAGGACACACGGCAAAGATAGGAGGTGAGCAAGGGGAAGAGGAAGGGAAGGAGGCAACGGCGGAGGAAATAACAGGAGAGAGAGAAGACGAGATTTAGATCGGGCCTTTACATTTGGATTTCACTGGAGAGTTTGATCTGATCTAAATGTTCTGCTCTCCGTACCATCAGTTTCATATAAAAATGATTGGTGTATGTATCCTTTCCCCCCCATAATCTCTGTTGGCTCCTGACCCCATCTGGCCTTAGTCTTGATTTTGTGTCTATGTTTGTGGACTCTACTGCGTTTTCAAAGTAAAACTGAAACCTTCTAGCTTCGTTTGCTCCTTCCGTCCAGACTAAAACGGCGAAAAACAAAGACCTAAAACGGAAAAGTTTGGAAACGCTGCCGCCCCCATTTTGCGTTTCGAAACTCCGGAGGGCGTTTTAGTGAAGAAGGGCCAAAACGGAGGACTTTAGAAACGATGATGCAGACGCTCGGCTCTCTGAGTCTTATAAGTCATGCAAAGCAGACACACAGTGCGGTCAGTTTTTGAGTAAAATATTCTGTACCGTGCAAATAACACTTACACTGTGCATGTCGCCGTTTACTTTGCGACGACTCCCAGTCTGTTTTCCGCCGCCACACTCCCATGTTACATTCAGTAACAGTCCCAGCTCATTATCGGTGCATGCAAAGAAAAATCTGGTCAGTTTTTCTTTATTCTTTAGCCAAATCTTCTGTAGCTACGGAATAGACCATCCGCTTCATGCTTACACTGGCACGCCCAGCGCACCCGAACGGGCACGGGATGTGCGTTTTAAGTCGTTTTAATGTAGACGGGGATCACCTCTGATACGCAGCTAAAACGCTGCTGTGGACGGAGATCGTATCCGTTTTAATTCTCCGTTTCTAAACTAAAACGGAAAGTACTGAATCAGTCTCTGTTCTGACTTACACCCGTTTTACATGTTTTTTTAACATTCAAGTACCTTTTAAACTGTCTTGACCCTGATATGCTTTTTGGACCAGGTCTTAGTTTCCGTCTGGATTTGACCCTGACCTGCTAAAGATGCCGTCTTTCACTTAGGGTCAGTCTTGACCTGCTTTTAGACTTGGCCTCACTTGATTTCCATCCCCTGTAAATCAGTCATTTGGTCTTATACCCTTTTCTTGAGCCAGTTTATGACACTTTCTGACACATTTCTCTTGTGGACATCTCAGGTTTTGTCTGGTTTAGTCTTTTAAGGCTTTTAATTGATGCCAACCTCCATTTAGACTCGGTCCCAGTTAAAGTCTTGACCTGGTTTCGTGCCTGTTAAAGCCTAGGCACCATCCTGATCTGCTTTCAGACTGTCTAGACTTGGTTTCAAGCCCCTATTACGCTTCAGCTCAAACTCGACTCAGCCCTGTGAACACTGAAGAAAAGACAACACAGAAACTCAAACATGGGAAGGAGTTTGATAGACAGCCGACTAGGTGAGCATTCCTTACCCTTGATTGGCCGGAAGGAAGGAATGAAGGAAGGAACACCCCCCTTCCTTCACTGTTGTGTTGAAAACCCTTTCCTCTCTTCACTACACAGACTAATAACTAACACTGTGTGTGTGTGTGTGTGTGTGTGTGTGTGTGTGTGTGTGTGTGTGTGTGTGTGTGTGTGTGTGTGTGTTATATAACGTCTTAATCAGGCCTGGCTGGTAGTGTGAGAACAAACTGTACTCTGAGGAAAATGTATTGTTCAAGTGTGTGTGTGTGCTCAAGGAAGAGGGAGGTGCGATATTAGCTGTCCTTGGGGTTGTTGGCCTTTGACCTTAAGCCCCTCCTACATAATCAAACAACTTCCTGATTCGACAGGAAATGGCAGATGAGGACTGTTTTTGAACCGTTACTGTTTCTTAGCAACAAGAGTACTCACTGGGAAGTATGGTCTTGTATCTGTTCTTGGGTCCGTAGTTTGGGATGTCCAGATCTTTGGGATCGATGAAATTCATGGGGATTTCCTGACACAGAAGAAGAGACGTTCAGTGTTACATATGTGTATAAGAAGTCATCCTGCAGCTGCATCAGTGGTGGAAAGTAATGAAGTATAAGTACTTCGTTACTGTACTTCAGTAGTATCTGTACTTACTTGAGTATGTTTAGTTGTTGCAACTTTTTACTTTCACTTCACTACATTTCAAAGCCAAATATCTGACTGTTTACTGCGTTACATCCTGCATTAGAGCTCGTTACGTTGTTATTAGTCGCCTATGCAGCGAACCTGAGTGGAGCAGCAGGGAAAAACAAATGTAAACTGATAAAGCCGACTCGGCACGAATCAACGCCAGCCAGCTGATGCGACACCGGCATACGCAGTGATAGAAAACAGGTCACTCTCGCCAGAGACGACCTTGCCTCACTCTCATGTCAAAGGTGAAAATACAACTATGATGAGGGGATGAAGAGGGACCATCTTTCTTGGACCGTGTAAAGAAAAAACTCAATGGAGAGTGAACTACGTGAACGTCGGGTAAGCATGAGGTCAGCAGATAACAAGTAGCCTAACATTAATATGCAGCTGCAGTGAATCTGTCTGTCCTGTGCTAACCAGCTCAGCAATGTTGAGTGAAATATAACTATTAACTATTACGTTTGATAAACGCACACGGACCACGGTGTTTATAAACTGTAGCTTGGAAAAGATGAGCGCATTCCAGCAAGAAACATCTGTGGGAGCAGTCCAGACAGGATGTGAAGGCACTAATCATACAACATTTTAAAACAACAACTCTGGACTAATGCAAGATGGGAAGCAGTGGATTAACTAGTACTATTGAAAAATAAAAAGCTGATTAGTGGATGGGTGGATGAATGTCTCAGTAAATACTAAGCATCACATATTCAGCCCAGTCATTTTATAAATAGTATTTTATATTTGAAGATGTATTGAAGGAAACCTGGAGGAGCCAGTTTGATGCAGCTGACAACATTAATATTTAGAAAATATCTATAATTCACAGGGGCTGAAGTTTGTCAGTAGAGTAGATGCTGGATCATCAACCAGTCTGAGCACAGCTGATCCACATCCAGCCTTTAGTCTTTAGCAGGTCCCACAGACCCAGGTCAAACACAGGCAGCCTCAGCCAGTGCGAGTGCATGACACAAAGACCCAGAAGATTGCCCCCCCACCCCCAGTCTTAACAGACTTCATGAGTTAGCGCGCAGAGGTCTGTTAAAACCGGCGCTGGATTTTTCTAGAAGAGGTTTCTATTCAGGCTTCTTACAGAGGGAGGATTGTGGTGTCAGGTGTGACTGTGCAGCAGTCGCAGGGAACGCAGCTGCTAGAGCTTTGGATTATAGACATCTGAAAACTGAAGCCAGCCTTGCTCTGTGTGGGACTGTGAGCTGCACTTTATGAGAGGTGCTCAAGTTAACACGCGTGGGGTTTTGGTGAGATTGTGAATTGAGAAGTTCAGTTAGGTTTGGTTTCTGCCTCCTTGTCTCATCTTGACATACCCAAAGTCCCAAATGGGGTTCTGTGTGCGTCAGACGGTCTGAAGGGGATACTTCAGTTTTCCTTACTGTGATTCACTATAACAAACCTGCCTTGAGTGAGTTTAAAAAAGATAAATTGTGTTTTGAAACTAGGTACTTTTTTTACTTTTACTTGAGTAACATTTTTCATGTGGTATCTGTACTTTTACTTCAGTATGAAAACTGAGTACTTCTTCCACCCCTGAGCTGCACCGACACCCGACAGGTAGACGCACATCTTTACAGTGTGAAGGGATGCTCTGATCGACTGGGTCCCAAGAACTGTAACTGCATCTGTAGGGGCTGGGTATCGTTGGAAAATGTTCTGTACCGGCGCCAGCTGATCCAAAATCCATCCCATCAATGCATACCTTAATTTGAGGAATATAAAGATGCTGCAACTCAATATATGGTAGTGCTTGTCATAACACTTCTAAAACACGGTCCATATTTCCACACTCCTGTTTATATTTCTACATTTATATTTGTATGTTTCTTTTTATATTTTGTACTTGCCAAACTTTTATTATTTCTATTCTTTAATGCTTTGATTATCAAAGTGAGCAAACTAACTTAACCTCGCTGGTTGCTGCCTTTATGCTTACATTTTTATGCATCCATCTGTTGTTTATATTGATGCTTTTACCTTGTAGCACTTTGAGATTTGCTTCAAATGCAAAGAATGCTGAGTAAGCATTTAGTGCCTACTTTCGATACTTGACAGTTTGATACCCAATACTATGGACGCATTGCAGTACTCATAACGTGTTGAAGTTTAAAATCCTGCCCCGACAATCAATAGTCTGGTGGTAGTAGTCTTAAGTTTTTGCAGTTGCTTTGATATTACAATCAAGTCTTCCTGGAAAAATAGGCTGCATTACTGACATTTGGTGAATTATTTTACTGTTTAACTACTTACAGCGAACTCAGCGTGCAGCTTGTGTGTGTTGTTGACGATGTCGCGGAGCTGCTGCCGGGCCAGGGGCCGGCCGGCGGCCAGCAGGTACTCCCTGGCCGCCGCCTCTCTGGGGGTCACCACAGTAACGTTAAGGGGCTCCACTGCGCCGAGAGCCGACATGTCCAACACCAGAGAGACATTAGAGCCACGTCTGCAGGGGAGGTGAAGATAAATGAGGGAAAGAAAAACAAATTGTGTTAGAACTGGACCGCCATTGAAGTCTGAAGCCCTCTGTCTTGTGTTTTATTGTTATTTACTCACTAGGGGTGTGATGAAACACTGAGACGTAACATTTGCACAAGTTTGGTGGCCATGACTACAAGAGAAGAATATATTTTAATAGACCTACTATTTTAAAACAATATTTATAGATTAAATATTTGATGGGGGGGGGGTCTGGGGCTCCTCCCCCCGAAGATTTTTAGCATTAAACACTTAATTTCCTGCATTCTGGAGACATTTTCTGCACCAATACAAGGTCGAAATGTCTTTATTTTTATAAAGGGAAGCACAAAATTCAGGTGGCAGGTGACAATTCAGAAAATCTAAATCTAATAATAATAATAATAATAATATAGTAATCAGTAGCTTATTATTATTATTTGCTTAAGTTACTTCTTTTGAACAACGCAGAGGTTTCCTCATTATTTACACTGCAGGTTTTCTAAAGCACAAACAAACCTTTCTCATAGCATTTTTATTTGTTTATCTCTCTCTCTCTCTCTCTCTCTCTCTCTCTCTCTCTCTCTCTCTCTCTCTCTCTCTCTCTCTCTCTCTCTCTCTCTCTCTCTCTCTCTCTCTCTCTCTCTCTCTCTCTCTCTCTCTCTCTCTCTCTCTCTCTCTCTCCTCTGTGATTGGGCCAGTCCAATGTCAGTATTGAAAATTACCCAATGGGCCGCTGTTCATGCTTTACAGGCCGATTGTTGGCCCGTTTTTAATAAATAATTTACGTTACACCGGCCCACCAGGCATTTGATTAGCAGTCCAGCCCCGTCTGTGGCTATTATTAAATATTCTATTACATGTGTAGACATGACGACAAACTGATCTTGTCTTAATGTTGTTTTCTTATAGTAGTTGTAGTATTATAAGTCCTTTCAGTTCTATGCTTGGCACGTGCTTTTGTCGGGCTGTATTTTAATCGCTGCTGCCTGAACACCAGTAAATATTAGCCTAAAATGTAGCCTAGTAACAAATCCCAGCTTTCTGTTGAACCTTAGTTTCTAAAATCTCTGTGGTCCATAGCACGCGTTGGACCACTGTCACAGCGCCACACTTTATTTAAACTTCAAAACGAACTCGGTGTATTCGAGTTTTATTTTGTCAGAAAACTGGCACTACTTCACAGGTGTGCAGACATCAAAGGTTAATCACAAAATAACAGCAAGCCGTGGTCAGTTTATCACCATATATTAGCCCCTTTACTAACAAAGCTAATCCCAACCGATTGTGAGCTAAAGTTTCATGTCATGTTATAGCATTAAGTTTTTGAAGAGACGATGCCAGCAGAGTTTGGAGGATAATACAACTTACATTATTCAGAGTTTCAGTCACTTGAATTAATGTCATCCAACTTGTGCTACTATGTGACGTGACTCAGGGCGTGTTGTGAGCAAACGTAACATCATGTTTCTCCAGTGTTTTCCCATGACTGGAAAATTTGTCAGCTGTTTTCCAGGTTTTCCAAGACGCGTGGGAATCCTGCAGTTGCTCTGCTGAAGTTCAGAAAAATATCATTTGGATGTGAGAGTTAATAAAACCAGCTGGAGGAGAAATCTGCCTCTTTCTCAACCAGATAAACATAAACGCATTCTGCATGTTCAGAACAAATCTTTTTTTTGCTAAACAATCATTCGACAGTATCTGGGCCTGGATGTGCTGTTCAGCAAGTGAGCATGAAGGTTTATTTCTAAACCTCTGTGACACTGTTTCAAGCCTTCATCGACACTATTCCAACAATCTGTGGCGCCATTTTTAAATCACTGCTCTCAAATTGGACTAGTGAGGCTGTACTTTTTCTGCAGCAATGCTTGTTCAACCTTTAGTAGCAGTAATTTCCATCTCATAATCTCTTTCTACCTTTTCAATAAAAGGTTTTACCTGCAAAGTGTTTACTGATGGCGTAACCAAATGTGTATTCCACGTGCTGGTTGTTGTCTAACAGACATCCTTAGCTAAAGCAGATATCCAGATGACGTATTATATAAAAACATATTTTCTTACTTAAACAAGACATTTTACATGACGCTGACAAATTTCTTTACTGACTTATCTGACCAGGTTAATCCCTGAAACAGGAGCAAAAACACTGAACTGATTTTAGAGTCATGCTGAAATTGGTTTAGACTTTAGAAAGAGAAGAAAATACAAGGTGTGCTTTGATGGACTGTGTTTGGGTGGACTCTCATCGTCTGGCTACGTGTCGGACGGCTTCCTCTCCAGGATGCTGTTAATTCCTTTTCATCTGATTGCTGATTGGCTGCCATCCAGAGTGGTCAAAACACACACAGTTACACAAAGAGACACAGACACCAAGAAAAACATCCTGTTCTCACTTTGGGCCTGAAATCTTCCTTCCTTTTCCTACCTTAAGATACTCAGCGTGTTCTCTGCACTTAACACCCTCACACTGAACTCCGCCAGAACAAAATGGCCTCCGAGGTTCGAGTCTGCGGAACGGGCGGTAAATCAACGGAAGAGTTCCGAGCTGCAGATAAAGGTTAAGTGCTCAACTCTGAGCTGAGGTGCAGATAAAGACGTTATCTTTCCGATTATGTAACTACTTAAAAGGGAAATGAACTTCGGCCAAACGTTGAAGAGCTCTTAAAGCAACATTTGCAGAAACACAAGTTCACCATCTAAGGTCAGTCTTACTTAACAAAGAAAATGTTCCTCACGCCCAAACGTGGCTTTCAAACTTAAAATACTTTTACTCTACTGGAGGAATGAATGACATCTTCCAAAAGATATTTGGTCCATAGATTTGTATTTTCGTTGTATGTCTTTGCAGATGAAGAAAAATCTTTCAAAGTCACTTGTTTTTTTTCCTCCTGGCATCTTGACCTTAAATCCAAGTGAACGGGCTCTGCTCAGCATTTTTACACTTCACTAAGGATGACAGGACGTGCTCGTTTATGGAAGCATCTGCATTTGTTTTGTTTCTCCACTTTATTCCTTTGGCAAATAAAACCAAAACTACATGCATGGTTAGGAACCACAAGAGCAGGGGTCGGCAAATAAGTCTGGCATCGAGAAAAAACTTTTTCAAGTCGTTACATGGCGGGCCGGAACAAAGTCAAATAATTTCAAGTTATGTGCACGTTTAGCTCAGTCGGTACTGTGCGGGACTCCCGTTAGGTAGGTTGTGAGATAGATTCCAACTTACTGTGGCTATTTTTTTATCCTTTGTTAAACAAATTGAATGAAAGGACACTTTTGCACTTGCTCACAATAAAGCGTGTGCTGCAGTGTGTGTTTGTGTTCCAGTGTTTGATCTACATTCATAAACCTATGGACACTTATTTTCATTCCCCTGAGGAAATTCAGGGGAATCCAATCACATGTTTACTGACTGCTTTTCAAGAGGTGTGTCAAGCAGGCCAGAGTTTCTTTTGAATGTCCTTCAGAACTCTTCAAAGTAAAAGCTCTTAATAAACTCGACATCAAGCATTGCTGCAAAAAACGTTCTTGCACTTTTATTTTAGAGGCTCAGATTAAACAGGTGTGCAAAAAATTCACACAGCTGACTAGAGCAGGATTTTAACAGTTTGGGGCTGATCCCATCAGGCGCCGCCGCCTTCCCCTGCCTGAGTCTGTCCAGTTCCCTCTAAACCTGGAATGAGGAGAATGTTAAAAGTCCGGCAGGTGGTGAGGTGGGGCTGGAGCAGGAAGTGTTGGCCACCGATACCAGACAATTAGGGGCTTGACAGTCAAATCTGTTAAAAAAACATGTTCAGGTCATTAGCAAGAACTAAACGAGCAGTGATCCCCTCTTCTGCCCTTTCTCATGCCAGACCAGACCTGCCTCACTCCATTCTGCTTCCACTGCTGTTCCAGTTTATATTTATTTTATTGATATATAACTGAGCTGACCTAACTGGTAATAATGAATCATGTAAACTGCAAAAAGTAACCTAGATGTTTTCTACTTCTTGGCTCGTAGTAAAAAGGTTATTAAAGGAGACCTATTATACTGCTTTTCCAGTCCTGTATTGTAGTTCTGTGACTCTTGTACGGCAGCTTTGCATGATTCAAAGTTCAAAAAAAGAATTATCTATTTGATACTGACTCTTCATGTAGGCCTTCATTTCAGCCTCTGTCTGAAACAAGCTGTAGATGCTCCTGTCTCTTTAAGCCCCCCCCCCCCTTAAAGCCCACTGTCTTCTGATTGGCCAAGACCTGAAGTTACCAGGCTGTTGCTATGGGAGCAAATAACCATATATGGAACACCAGCTCCGTCTGGCTCCGTATGTCGTGGAACAGAGCCGTTGCTAGAAAAAGCTGTTCAAAACAGAGCGTCAGAACAGGAGGAAATCTGAGGTTTTGGCTCACAGGGATTTCTTTTAAATACTTTAACCTCATTATCTGAACGCCATCAAAATACAGGCAGCAGTTCCACTTTGCCACAGCGATGTAATAAGTTTATAGTAACGTCACGTTGGAGAAACTACCGAAACAGCTAGCGTGTTCTAATGGCAGAAAAGCAATACCTGGAGATTCAATAAGGTAGTTCGTTGTATGTCAGGATCGGGGCAGACAAAAAGGACACTCATCAACCCATATTTCTGAAATGTTTTCTATATAACGAAGCCGATCAGAAACAACATAACAGATGACTGGTCATCGGATTTGGGCTCCTAATAGTTATTCTATGCCAATAAATTGACAAAGACCTGGCTGCTTTCACCCAAAAGGGGCGGGGCATAAGGTGGGGGCAGTGACATCATATTCCAAGGAAAACGCTCCCTTCGGGGGCAAAAAAAAAAGACGTTATTATCCGCTGCCTGCCAACCAGGAAGCAAGTGATACACCATTACTTTGAGTTTGTTACTTTTCGCGTTGCCAAAATGCTGGATAGTTTTCTTGCTTTCAGATTTATTTATCGAGGAGGAGACGAGACTGGGCTGTGTTAGGTGAGGGATTCCCCAGAAAGTAAAAGTAAACATTACCGCAGTCGAGCGGCGGCAGGGACCTGGCGGTTTTTAACGGTAGAAATGCGGCAGCGGACGCTGTAACGTTATATGGATCGGATATGCCCAGCGCTTGCAGTTTGTGTTCATATCTTTCTTTTTCTTAAGTTTAAAGGTGATCCAAATAAAACCTGACTGCTTTTGTGGCGTCTCTGCGGGGGAGTCGCGGTGTTGGTCTGTTGTTTTGCGCATGTCACGTGACTGAAAACTATGAATACTTGTGGATCAATTCAGTTAGTCTGTAAAAAACAAAATTCATATTGTTGCCATTTAGTTTGAGTCCAAACAAACTAATATGCAGAGAGGCGGGGCTACAACACAGGAAGTCATCTCTCTGTCTTCTTACCTTTCTTGCAGCCCTGCAGCAGGTTTCATCCTGAAGGGGGAGGGGCAGGGCTTGAGCTCGTTATTGGCTGTCGTCGGGGCAAAGCTGGCCAGGTGGGCGTGGTCGTTGACAACAGGGACAAGGGCGGGGCTAGGAGGACAAACACAGGCAGACACGTGGTTTATTTCAGTATCTTGCTTTTGAGGAATATTAGGATGCATTGTCAGCTGACTGACCTGGGCAGAGGGACTACAGGAGGAGCGAGGCGGCGGCAGGCTACGATTGGCTGCTGCTGGGGAATGGGCGTGGCAACAGTTGGAGGGAGCTCAGCTTGGACCATGCTTCCTGACGTCACAGCCTGGACAACAAATTAATGAGTCATTCCTATATTTTCTATGTATTTTTACACTTTAACAGTTCTGGTGCCTGGTGCCGACCTTGGTGCCCTTTAACCTCTGGGTGGGGTCTGGAGGGACAGTCGGGGTCAGGTGGCGGTCAGGGGGCGGAGCTTTCAGCTGTCTGTCAGAAACCTGAACCTTTTCCTTAAGTCGGTACAAAACCTGGAGATCAGAAAGGAGAGGAAAGAGAATTCATCAATACATTTTCTTTTCAAATGAGGGACTGATGAAGGATCTGTGAAAATCCAGGAAGTAGTCCCATCCCGCCTGAGTACACGTCTGAACTGTGTCCATAGCACTGACTATAAAAAAACGTCAAATATTTCATTCTGACATCATTTTTTTTACTTATTTAAATCAGGAGGCCTTTCTTACTTTATAACTAACCTTTCGAAAAGTTCTTTATTTAACACTGATTCATTGGGGAGTTTGAGACATTTCGGTAAATAAATAAAAAAAGTATTAAAACATTTCTCTTTTTCTCAGCTTAAAAAAAGTATTAAAAAAACTATTGGTACAGAATCAAATGTTCAAATGATATTCAGCTTTGTTTAGTTGACAGAGCTCCTTTTTCCTGCTTCTGGTTGTCACAAATTTATCCCAAATGTGCAGACAAACCCCAGCTATTTAAAAAAAGTCGTGAAAAGGTTTTGACTAAATCATTAACAGAAACTCTGTGGGAGACATTGTTCATATGAACCTCACTGTAATAAAAAGGCCTATTTTGTCTTTAAATTAAAAGATAAATGTCTGATGTTATATAATTCTGCTTGCAGTGAAATGTGTCTCCTAAAATTTTGTTCATAAAAAAATATACAGAAAACACCAAATACTGTTTGCAGACAAGATCAAGCTGCCTGGGTATTATACTTTACTTATTTATATTTAATAGCAATGAAATATTTGTATTTAGTGTATCTGCACACGGTTCATTGCCAGTGCAGTACGGTCACAGTCACTAAATTTAATTTGGTTTTCCTACAATAATCTGCTCCTGACAACTCAGGCATGATTTTATGCTCACATTTATGAAATCTGAAGAATCACCTGGATGTAGTTTTTTTCTAAATTCACTGAATACTGAAACTGAAGCCAGATCAGAAGGAACACAGCAGAGAAAGACACAGTGAAGAAAGTCTGTTCTCGAAAATGCAAGTTTCCAGCTGCTTTCTCGATATTATTAACATAATAATGAATAAAAAGCTAAATTGCGAGCGGAGAGAGAAAACTGTAAAGAGAGGACTAATAAAAATGTCACATTTAGATTTAATTTAAATGCAGACGTTTCATCCAGCACATCAGGTCTGAGCCACACAGGACAGAAAACTGATTATGAGCTGGTTTCTCTGTGCAAGTTCTCCCTCTTGTGGATTAAATGTCACACTGCAACACCAGAATGGGGACAATATTTTATACATGACGTATGTATACACATAGTATTTATTTATTACTAGTTTCCTCTTTATTAATATCTTTATCCTTTTCTTTTACCATCTCTTTAGTTGACTTTCTCTTTGATTATTTGTTATTTGTTTGTGTTTTATATCCCGGTGGGACTTTAACCTGAATGCACAGGTAGAGACGCTTGTTGAGGGTTAAGACTTGGTTTTAGGGTTCAGGTTAGGGTTAAGCATGTGTTTGTGGAGGTTGAGGTTAGAGTTAGGGGACAGGGAATGCATTTTGTCAATGTGATGTGTGTGCGAGTCTGAAGGCCAGGGTACAGTGACCCTGCCACCGTGGCCGGCTGCCTCAGCCAATCAGAGTGGCCGGGGTTTAGGAACGTGAGGTCAGCGATAATGCTGATCTGTGTGTGCTCTTTTACTTCATCCATCTTTGTGAGGACAGGTTTGAGTTTTACACCTTCAAAGTGACGACTGCCTGGTTCTTACTTCTTCAAGGAGTCTGAGGTTTGGTTTTAAGGTTTCCCCACAAGTTTAGTTGTTCCAAATGTGTGTGTGATACTGTATTTTACCATCAAGCAGGTGATGACGATGACGAAGATGGTGAAGAAGAGGACGACGGCGTAAAAACCTTCTCTGCTCCACACGTGATCCCTCTGCCCGCCCTGCAGGACGTTTTTCTGCAGGTATCAGAGAGAATGAGAAGGGAAATAATTTGAGTAAAAGCTTTACAAGACTTATACTCGTAGCAGCTCCAGTCCTGCAAAATGATTAAAGAATCCATCTTAAGCAGGCCTGTAAAAAGTTCTACGTTAACTCATTTCAAAGCACTGATCATTTCGCTGAGCTGTCAGCATCAGACCATCTAATATTTTCTCATACATGCAGGATAATTACACACTTGCAGTTTCAGTCTCTTGATATTTAACATTCAGCAGCAGAAAAGCAGAAGAAAAACTTTACTTTCTGGCACCAGGTCTGATTTAGCAGCAGTTTATGCAGATCAGATGAACTGCAGCTCATTTACAGCTGCAGTTTTAGCAAATACAATCCAAACTGAAAAACTGTCGTGTGGTGAAAACTGTGCCCCTGTGTCCCAGGTATTAGTCTAACCCAATTTACATAATTCCATGACATGATGTCTGCATGAAACGTGGGTAAATGAACAACACGGTAACAAAATAAGCAGTCAAGAGTTGATTATTTTATTTATCGACTTATCTACAGATCATTTTCCCCATTAACTGATTAGTGTTTGATCTGTCAAACATCAGAAAAGAGTGAAAAATAAACAACGTAATTCAACAGAGCCCAAAGCGATAACTTCATATAGCTTTGTTTGTTCAACCAACAGCACAAAAACAAACATTTTCAATGTAACTGATTGGAAAAGTGACAAATCTTTACTTTAGAAAACGTGGAAATTTCAAATATTCGGCATCAAATCTGTGTGAAAATTTACCTTAATAATGAACTGATTATCAAAAGAGCTGCAGATAAATTTTCTACCCATCAACAAATCGTTGCATCTCTAATCAGATCTAATCATTTCAGTTAATGGTATGACAGTACAGCGTCCCCTTATTGAGAGTTTGGAGGCGACCTCCAACAGTAATTCACTTATTCCTAAAAACATCTCAGAAGTAGCATCTTTAGTGATTTATGTGAGATGACTGCAGTGACAGGATACATGTTTTAATCTCAGATATTTGCTGGAGTATTCCTTTAAAAGGATGCAGACAGACCTGTTTTGTTGCGTCTGCTCCTCAGTGATACTTACAGGGAGTTCCTGATCTGTTACTGTAATAGTTTTATTACAGACGAGCTGTCACATTTCTCATGGCTGGAAGTGAGAGTAATAATATTAATACAATCTATAAAGCTGCTCTGTTCTTCCTCAGGCTGATCGATGGGACTTTAATACTTCCATTAAACCTTTAGCAGCAGCACTCTGCTCTCTAATAATCCTCTCCAACCGTCTCCACGGGGACCAACGAGGCTGCTTAACGAGCCGCCGTTACCTAGCAGTAGACACACACCTCGGTTGCGACTTCAGTGATGCCGAAGTGTCCCAAGTGGCGGTGAAGGACCCTGACGTTCAGTGATTGGATGACCTCTTCAGCAGGGCGGGGCTCAGAGATCCCCAACCTATCAGAGGACACGAAGAGCTCGATGCCATTCTTCTCCTCCTGTAAGAGCAGTCAGTCAATCAATCGGTAAAATCAATCAATCAATCAAATCAATCAGTGGAGTGTAAAGTCTGAATGGTGCGAGTCTGGGCGCCTTACATTCAGCCGGTTGATGTGCACGTGTCCTGTGGGAACGCCCAGCGCCGCCGCTACACCTTCGCGGAACCACCGAAGAAGACTGGCGTTCAGCCTCCTCACATCCACGGCCAGGTACTGCGAGAGAATCAGAATCTTCAGTTAGCCTCACTTTAGCCTTGGCTTTACAGAGCACAAACGGTTTAGACACTGCGTTGCACGAAACATGGTGTCGTGACCATGTATCCACCGGTCCTATTAGATAACGAGAAATAACTGTATCAACTTGATTGAAAAGTGTCTAAACAGGGAAGGGACTCAAGAGGGACGATAATTTGGTATAAATCAGAACCAACAGACTGTTGAAATCATAAAAACTGAAGAATTCTATATTTGGCTATAAATCAGCAGGGGAGCGACAGGTTTATCTTTGTGCTCCATGCAAACCTCCACCAACGAAGACAGCTCCTCCATTCTAGAAAGAGAAATTAGACACTTCCAGTCACTGAGAAATGTGCTGGTTTATAGAGACCTAATTGCAATTATAGGACAAGAACCCGATATTTTGAATCCACCTGGAGGAAAGGACACCCCGCCCCCAGAACTAACTATGGTCGCGCTCTGGAGCCCTGCAATAGATGATGCTAAACGTCCATCGCCGGTGATCATTCCTCTAATGACTGTATAGGCGACCAACTGTATATTTCATGCATTACATAAATCAGTATGTCAATACGTACAACAAGCCCTCAGTTAGGGTTGGATATCGAGAACAGGTACCAAGTTGGAATTGATACCACATTTTCAAGAACTTGGAATTTGATTCGTCAAGACCCGTGCGTTTAAATTCTGCTTCTCGGTTCCTAACTTTCTGTAGTAGCTCCTGACTGAACTGCAGTCAGCATTTTACAGCCCATCAAAGTGTCTCTTATCTGCCAGGAGCTGCCACGCCGACCTAACGTCACCTCACTTGTTACGTCGACAAAGCCTGAAGAAGAGATTGCTTCTGTTTCCTGTCCTGGACTGTGGCGGACCGCAGCAAACGCTTGGCTTAGTTTCACTAAAAAAAAAGAAAAAGAGAACAACACAGCAAAAATGCACCAGCTGCAGTCAGGAGGTTTGGTGCGAGGGAGGAAGCAGCTCCGACATCTGAAGGAACGCTTCACCGTGTTCAACGTGTCGCGCTCTCCCAGATCCAGCTAACGCTAACAGCAGCAACGGCTCAGGTACAAAACACAGGTGAGCCGACGTTCAGCTTTTATACTGACGGGAAACCAACGGTGGCTGCAGATGAGACGAGTCCCCAGAGACGCCGCTCTAGGACAGAGACTCATTTCACTTTCAGAACCGAGATTCAATAAGAACCGGATTCTATAAGTAGAAACTATAAAATTGAAACCCAACCCTACTCTGGGAATACAAACCTCTCTGAATGGTGGAGTTATTTCTGAACAGCCTTATAAGTTCACATTTAGGCCTAAAAAAGTCTAAGAACTAAATCATCACTCCTTCCTTAGAGACACCCAACATGGACCTGGAGGATTTCTTCAGTTTGCAGCTTTTATCACCGAGCAGATCGAATCATAACATCATGTCTGCGTCTCCTTCTGTGTTATTTTATCTCCCTCTCTGCTACGCCCACCTCGCCCCCTCTTGTTTGGCTCCTCTGGTTTTCCCAACAGTCACTCAGCTTTCAGTGAAATGTGAGATAGGTGAAACACGGTGTGTGTGTGTGTGTGTGTGTGTGTGTGTGTGTGTGTGTGTGTGTGTGTGTGTGTGTGGATCGATTAGGGCTGCAGCTAACGAGGACTTTAGTATTCGAAGCTTCTATAGATTATTTCAATGCTTCATCGATACGTCGTTTAAGAAGTACTTTTACTTGGCGGCGGCGGCGGTGAGTTAAAAAAGGTGCTGCTCCCCGACACCCAGTTAATGCTCGACTGTGAGGTCACAGCTCGCGGCCCAAACAGGAGAACAACAAACGCACGTGGTCACATTTTCAGCTGAGGACTGCGGCTTACTTTGGCTTCAACTCAGTACAGTAAATCATGATTTCAGTTAGACGCTAAAGTTGCTGTTACCTCGTCTGTGGTCCGCTGGCAGAACACCGGCTGCTTTCTGATCAGGCGCCGTCGTGCTGTTGCCGAGGCGACATAAGTTTCGTTTTACGGTGGACGGACTGTGACATTACAGAGTTGTTGTTTTCTTTTAGCTTAAAATAATCCCATACTTTGGACACTTTCTTCTTCGTCCCTCGCTGTTTTCCCTCTTCCTCCACTTTGCAAACAGCACGCGATGTGCGACGGTAATAAATGTCCCTGCGAAACAGTGCGCTGTGTAGTTATACGGATTAAAAAAACGAAGCATCGATGGAAAGAATTTGCGTCGATGCATTTAATTAATCGATTAATCGTTTCAGCCCTAGAATCGATACTAATAAACTCCCATGATTCTCAATACCAAGGAGGAAAAAAATAAAAAATGTTTTCTGTCCTTGTGCTGCTGCCGCACCTGAATTTCAATAAAAGGTTTATTTTTTCATCCGGTCTGTCTCTTTCTTTGTTTTATATCACTAAGAAGTATGAAATATCTTTGATTGGTCTAACATAACAAGACATTAGAAGACATCACAGACTGATTTTTTCAATATTTCCTGAAATCTCACACATAAAAACTATCAAAATAATAACCGCCAGATTAAATCAACCATGTTCATTTTTTGCAACCAGCGGCACCGGATGTGACCACATTCAGATGACACAGTGGCGCTAGCTAGTTTTGTTAGCAAGGTGCATTTGTAATTCACATCAACTGTAATATTAACCTGGGATACTAAATTTGGCTAGCGACAAACAGGCTTGAAACAAAACATACTTATCAGAAAAATCTTTTTCAGCGGCGCTGGTTAAATGTACACAGAGCAGCTGAGGGAATAAATCAGCTGAGAAGTAGAAACATTTTCTGTGTCCGAAATCCCCACTCACTCCCTACGCCCTCTGTAGAAGACTATATAGGGAGCTCACTCGCATTATTAAAACAACACTTTTGGACACAACCCCGATCCTTATTCCGGCGCCGTTAATTATGTCACTGCCGTCAGACAATCAGTTTTTTTCTATCAGCGCAATGCATGATGGTATATATGGCTTGGTTAGTGACATCGGTCGTCCAGTACTTTTCAAAATGCATTCTGGGATACACTGAGTGGACTATATAGGGTATAATAACTCTCACTATACATTCGGACAGCACTACAAAATGGCGAGCTCACTATAAGGTCCACTATATAGTGAGTAGTGGGTGATTTCGGACACAGCCAGAGACTTCTATACTTCTTACAGTCTTTGAGTTAAGTTAAGCTGAACACATCCTGAATCTCTGAGTCTGAACTGGACGCACAGAGATTAAACAGATATTGATAATTACATCTGTGACTTAAAAAAAAAAACAAGACCAGTTCCCCAAAATGATCGGATTGTTCCTTTAAATCAAGTTAAAAGAAAACAAACACGTCTGACCTCTGCGAGTCTCCGTCCATCAGCTTCAAACCCACCGACTGCTGCTGCTCTAACAACACTGTTAGCTCTGTGTGTGTGTGTGTGTGTTTGTGTGTGTTTGTGTGTGCGCTCTAATGGCTAAAACAACATGTTCTGTTGCCACTTAATTCAATATCAGGAACAATAACCACGGCCAGACAGGCTCAACACACACACGCCGCTGATGTTATTATCAGTCTGTCTCTGGTTACAGTTTGTTCTGTTAAAGAAAAACTCTATTTTTCCTCAAACTGTCCAAATAAATAACCAGGCACCTGATATATGGTTTTATTTTCATTATCCACTACTATTTCAATTATTTTCCAAATGAAATCAGTCAATCCCTCAGCCTATAAAGTGTCCGTCCAAAACCCCAAATATTCAGTTTACTGTTAGAAAACCAAGAAAAAGTAGAAAATCTATACATTTAGGAAGCTGGAAACAACATATTTTTGTACTTTTGCTTTAAAAATATGTCTCAAACTATTAATAAATTATCAAAATTGTTGCGGATTCATTTTGTTTCAGCTATGACCTGCAATAAACCACTGCAAAGTTTAAGCAAAAAAAACTGAGCCAAACAACAATTAATTAATTCAGCAACAATAAATAACATTAAAACAGACAGCAACCAATTAAAGAAACCGTTCAACCAAAGAATTAAATAGTAACAGCCAATAAATAAGAAGAAAAACCTGGATAACCTGAAAACAACTCTAAACAACAGCTCCAGTCTTACCAAGTGAACACGGTTGATCTCCCCGTCGCTCACAGGAAGATTTTCACTCAATAGATACAGAGAGAAGCTGCCCGCCTGTCAGTCAGAGCTCAGGGACTTTTCGCTCCATTTCCTGATCTAGCCATTCCGTGATATCTGATTGGCTTAGAGGGGACAGGAGCTCAACCTGTCACCCGATTGGCTGCTGTCCAGGTAATGCCATTATCCTGCTGCGCTTCCTGTCAGGATCAGGTGCTATTTCTGTCCCCCACACACACAGAGTAATAACCACTAACTAGCTGATAGCCCTCGGGTCAGCGGGGGGGGAAGCCAATTTAGACCAATCAGATATCACAAAGGGGAGGGGGGTGAAGAAAACTGTTTACAAGGCGGGGATGAGTGATGAGAACTAAAAACAACAACAAAACCAGAATTAATTGGTCAAAAGAGGCAAAAAGGTGAAAATAAAAATAAAGGATTAAAATGAGCCGTTAGCAGCTCGACCATGAATCTCCAGACAAGTATCACAGGAATCTGCGATACTGAAGAAAACTTAAAAACAGGATTGTTGTCAGGTTCTGCGGCTCCTCGTTTCTGTCATTTCTAAGCCGAGTGGACGTGGAAGTCCTTTTCTTCCTTCTACCTTGCTGTAGGCTTCACATTGAGTCTTTACTCTTATTTTAACATCATAAGATCTTTAACACACACCTGTTTTGATCAACTTTTAGCTTGTGTGACATGTTCTAATTTTACGGTTGGTTTCCTGAGCGTTACCATCCCTAATTTATTCAAAAACATCAACACTGTTTTTATTTTAGTATTTCCAGTGAGCTGAGAATCTCTGCTCTTTTATGAATGTCATGAAGCGATATGATTGGCTGAAG